TTGATGTAATATGCATAAAGTAAGTGTAGGTAATCAAACAACTGATCAACGAGAAATCTTTGAAACTTTTGGAATATACATATAGTTACATATTATTCATTGAAACCAAATGATAATATTAAAGATTTAATTTTAGTTTATGAATATAGTATACCTACGGTGTTGTTCAACCTAAATGTAAAAAGCTGTTACGGTAAACCTGGTAAACAATTGTTAGTGAGTCAAATAAATAAAAAGAAAAACATTTCATCGCTTTTGTACTCTGCCTATACAAGGTGCTATATTAAAGTTGTTTTCCATCGCAATAGAAAAATGTGCAGGACAGCACTTTTTGTATCTATAAAATGCGTTGCCTAGAAGATGTTATAAAATTTGGTATAGTTTGAATACATCATATAAGCTTTTAAAATTTTTGTTATACGAAACTAAATTAACGTGTTTAATGATATCCTGATTGTCATGGTGTTGATGATTATTTAATTATTTAGTATTGAATGTGTACTAAGCACCATCAGATTTTAAGGTTATCTATACGCCTTCATGCCTATCAACTAAGCTTACAATACAGACGTAAAGTCAAAACTATTACCTAAAACAGAACATTGTTATAATTATGGCCAAGAGACGCGGCTTATATCGAGTTTCTCTGAGAAGTCAGGTCGTTTTGGATTTCAGATTGTATGCATTCAACGTCTATTACCTACAATTATATCAGTGTCTTGTCTTCCTATTGTAAACTTATCCTAATGCAGTACGACGCTTATACGGCCAACACAGACACATTCAGCGATAGAAAGATATGTTGAAATTATATATAGTTACCTCGCACTCGCATTGGAAAACAAAAGGTAATATGTACAGGGACATTTTCCAATACCAGTGGTTTGAGTCTCGAATATTTCACATTTTACCAACAAGTGTGATTTGTTTTATGTTTAATCATTGAGGCGAGTTTTAAAACTGAAAATACCTCATTGTTATTGCAAACAAATTGTTGTCACGTTAAAGTTAGAGTGGAATGTGACATTATTTTACTAAATAAGTCTATTATTTGGATTAAGGGCCTTTTAAGTAAAATTTTTATGTGTGTATGACAGCAGAACATTTAAATAAAGATTTGATAAATTTCAATCGCTGATTATGCTAAGAATGAATAATCATATAGTTTTGATCAGTTTTGATACACAAACCTATGAAGCAATGAAAATATGACGGCAAATGTTTCATTGTCGATGATGCACATTTTTGTGTTTTTCATTTTTAGTTCTTTTGAACTACAATAACCAAACTAGTATTTAATGTAGGTAAGTTTCGTATACTCAGTATAAGTAATCTTAGAAAATTGTATTAAGCTGGTAAAAATTTGTATCCAGAGAGCGAACGAAATGAGAGGTAAAGTTGTTATTTTCTTTAAGTGTATTATCAAAATGGATCGTTTTTATTAATTATTTTGAGTATAAAAACTTATGCTCTCATGGCTTTGGTGGATTAAAACCTCAAGTTTGTATACGAACTTACTGAATTGTTATCTTGTTCGCAATAGTTTGCGTCAACATTCTAGATGATTATTTCATTCTTTAGTGTTGTCTGTTTAATAAACACCGATTGTATTAATGGTGATACGCCATACTGCCTATGTACTACAATAACTATATATACAGGCTACTCGCATTATACCTATTAGAAGATTTTCATATATTACTTCATACACTTTATTATATAATCAATTTTATATAGCTTTATTATAGCAATCTCTATAGCGATTTACTTAAATGTATGGTCCTAATTACGCATAATGCATCACAGTACCTGACCTTACTTTGCTAAGCCTATCCTAATGCAAGAAGACGCTTACGTGATCAACAAACGGACACGGACGTCAGCGACGGAAAGATATGTTGAAATTATATATAGTTACCTCGCACTCGCATTGGAAAACAAAAGGTTATATGTACAGGGACATTTTCCAATACCAGTGGTTTGAGTTTGAGTCTTGAATATTTCACATTTTACCAACAAGTGTGATTTGTTTTATATTTAATCATTGAGGTGAGTATTAGAACTGAAAATACCTCATTGTTATTACAAACAAAAAGTTGTCACGTTAAATTAGAATGAGGCGTGACATTACGTTACGTAAAATTTTCTATAATTTAGACTGTGCTGCTTTCGAAAAAAAGGTTTTGGTTGCGTATGTGACATCAGAACATTAAAATTAAGTATTGATAAATTTCCGTCGCTGACTATGTTAAGAATGAAGAGTTCTGACTGGACTAGAGTCCCGATAGACATAAAAATGTAAAGCACTGCAGTTTCGAGAAGGTACAAAGGTATATTCTTGTAGATGAAGCAGTACAAGTCATAGAAGATTCTAGTGATATCTCAGTAACTATTTGAAACGTTGCAGCACAATTACATGTTTTTCATAACACATAAAATAATTTTAATATGTTATATTGACACTATATCTGAAACTAAATTTTATGTGAATTTTCCGAAAAGTTCCGTGGTAAGTAAACAAATTATATTTAATAGATCACCCAATCCATGGAACTGGTTCTGGTTGAACGAATTATTTTAACAAATTAGTATTTAGTGAACAGTTGCGATACTTAGTTCATTGTTTAGTGTTGTCTGGGTAAAAACCACCAAAAGTTTTATGGTGATACGCCTAGTTATATTTATGCTAATTATATATACAGGCTACTCGCATTATAAATAATCGAGTACAATAATGTTCTCTGCAGCACGGTAAATCGTCACGTGCCTGGTAATAATATACAAACAAAATATTTAAAAATCACTATTTTCGGTTCCTGTGCTTCTCTTTATATATACACATTCTTAGCTTATTTATTTTATGGATCAAAATATAATTTTATGTTTATTTTTATTTGAATAACATGTACATACGGCGATTTGACCTGACCACTGACCCAAAAAGAAACAGCTACCTATTACCTATAGAATTGAATTAATCTACCTACCTTATATTATGCATATATGTAATACATATACAGCGTAAACATTAATCTATTCATTCGAGCCAATCAGCCAATGAATTTCGTCGCATATTAATGCGGATATTTACATTATAACCTAATAGACAATAACTATCCTAACTTATAATAATAAATACAAGATTAATTAATAGACACAAAATATATTAAATTAGAAAGTTCTAATGCAATATGAGTATTTACAAAAACCCTATCTCATGAGATAAATCAGGGATAGTCTAACATATTTTTATTTTGATTAAGTAGAGTATTGCAGAATAACCTAAATATTACAGAGTACAGTGTTTATAAATTACATTATACGACTGGTTTTTTTTTGATTTATATAGAAAATGTATTAACCGACTTCATCATTATTTACATTAAAGGATATTTTTGTCGTGTCGAACGAATTGTAGCACTGTTCTGACGTAAAAGGCATGTTGATTTTTATTTATTGTAACTTTAGTTTCTCTGTTTTATTTTAACAAATTTGTTACCTATGACTATTTATCCGATGGGTAAGCGGTAACCCTAGATATTGTAGTAATCCTGGCTACCTGGTAGCAACTAGTCATATAACAACGTTCAATTGTGCGACGTCGTTTGTTGTTAAAAGGACTACAATGGGTACCGATGATTATGTTGAAATCAGTATAGCAACCGTGTAGGTACATCCGAGCCACACTCACGCATGAATTGACCAATCACACGTCGTTCCTACGTTATATTCATTTAGGAGATTATATTCGGGCCGAGATGGAAACCGAACCCACACTTGGTCGAGATAAAACTAGTATTTCTGCTGTATTACTTTGATACTATTATCTGCTATGGTATATATGAATGAAATAGTTAAAATGTAATAATGCTAAATGTAAGGTGCAGAATATTATAAAAGGTACAACTATCTATGTTTAAGCCAGACTAGCAACTTCAAAAGGACGCATTTCGGTGATTTGTAAGCCATACAATTAAGATAAACAGTTGTTTATTATTTTTATTAATATAAGACTCGACTTCTCAAGTCAGTATTCAAAGGAATCGTCTATTTTTTCTGGTAATTAGAAGTATTTACACATTCAATTTTAGAAGAAAACATTTCATTAGAAAGTCGAGTGCCAATCTCGATAGTGTTTCTATCCGAATATTAACCTTTCCGCCTAGTAATTTGTAGTTGATTTCCAAAACTCGTTATAACTTTTCGCAACAATTACTACTATTACTAAACACTACAGAGTGAAGTACTTGGTGCTTGCATCTCCTGTGGCATTCTAACAGCTGGTGAACCGTCCACGAGGTTGTATAGTGGACAATGTTTAATTCTACGTAGTACCTAAGCACCTACCTTACGCTACTTGGCTGTTCACGACGAACATCCCCTACGCATGCAATACATTACTTGACATTGTTTACACTACATATAAAGATTTCGAGTGCCAATTACATCTACAAGTATTAGGTATATGTAAATACAACTTATTATTATACAATTGATCCAGGATCTCATCCACCTACTTGCATAAGAAATATTTTCCATTAATCTCTAACCATCACAGACTTTTTCAATCACTTAAAGTCCTTTTATTTAACTTGATGCCTTTGATTTACCTGTAGAGCAGATGTTATCAAAATTTGATATCAGGTTTTATAAGAGAGTTGTCAAAATGTTAATGAGGCAGTTCGTGCAATATCACTGGTTATAAAAGAACCTTTTAGAAAAATTTTGTGGAAGGGTCGTATTTCGTGCTGCAGTAGGGTAGGTTATGGATGCTAATCATCTATCTGTGTTGAAATAACCGTAGTTTGAGGTGAAACTCGAAGGACTGCTATCACGCCACGTTATTGTAATTACAAATAATATTCTACCAGTCCCTGGAACTTCTTTGTAACAGTTATTTCAACACAGCAAAATTTTGCTAGGAGACGTATCGCGTTTCAATAGGTACAAAGGTAGATGCACAGGTATCAGCACAACGTGGACATTCAAAAGCAATCAAATTACGGATCAGCGGGCGAGTTCAAGTCCAAACGCGATTTCCTGCGGTCTTTGCCGAGGGACAACTGTCCTGAAGTGGACCGTTGTAAGGAAGAAGACCGCGGACGAGCCGTGTCAGACTTGGACTTCTTCACCTTACTGCCCCCGCTAGCTGGTTGCTTACCTTTCAACGATGACACTGATATCACGACATCAGTGGAAACTCCGTCTTGCTCTAAAGAAAGAAAAACAATACAATCAGAACCAGAAACACACAATGAGTTCGCTTGCAGGGAGAAAAATTAGAGCTTACCAGTACGTTTGATGACTTCTCCTGCGTTGTTTAAGAAGAATTTCGGCTTGGAATCCTTTTCTTTTTCCTTTTCCTTGTCTTTCAGAGATTCCTGAGGGTAAAAATATGAATTAACAAACTGCTTCAACATTATTATAAACCATAAATCAGACTAGTTTAATTTACCTTTGATCTACTAGATTTGGAAGCAGAGTCAGTGCTTCCGCGCCACCACGGTCACTGAATCTCACAAAAGCCCCGCCCGGGCTCCTTGCTGGGGGTGGACGCCTCAGCGTCGGCTACATCTCCTTCAGGTTTCGGCGATCCAGTCCCCGATGTGGTAGCTCCACTGATAAAAACCACGTCTTTTTACCTCTCACTGTTCTAGCAAAACGCTTAAAAATGTTTGATTGGTTTTAGCACTTACGTCATATCCACCCGGACGGTATTATTATTCTGTTGGTTACGCATTGCCAACGTGGACACCATAGGTGGGCGCTGTGGCTTGTTTGCAAGTAAACGCTCTATCTCAATCATCATTATTGGTGTTAGTTGCGGTACAATCTGAAAAAGTATATACTTAAAGTCTTGTTCTAGGGAAACAAAGGTTTTACAATGATCCTATGACAGAGTACCTGGAGTGCATGAATATTTTCTTTGAATTGTTCAACGCTGGTAGCACCCAGTAGCAAACAGTTTACTGACTCGTTCTTTAAACACCAGGCTACAGCCAATTGGCTCATAGAGCAATCTGTTAACACATAAAAAATCTCTTATAATGCACAAACAAAGAAGTAATGTAATAAAGTAATAAAAAAAAAATACAAACTTAATGTATTAGCCAAGTTAGAAAGATCTCGAAGCTTATCTCCGTATGTGCGTGGTTCTTCTCCTGTCACTTGATCCTTACTGCTGGAGATGGGCAACTGCAAGGAGTCCTTTTATTAATGTTACACAGTATTGACTGTTTCGAATTAAGCGAAATCAGTAAATCAACTTAGAATTTTATTAGTAAATACCTCAGGTACTGCAAGATCTTCTTCACACCAGCTAAACGTACTGTATTTTCTGTTGAATCGAGATTTTGCAAATAGGCCGGTGATTTCTTCGCGGCCAAGACCTTTACCAGTAGTTATAGCTGACCACGCCATCATACCTAGTGCACAAAATTTTATATAACAAGTGTTTATTAAGCAAAAAGTGCAGTTAGTTGACTGCCTTTGTCTATCACTCACCTACACCGATCTTATGATACAACTCGGGCATGTAGAGTTCAGGTTTCTCGCGACAGAACATATGATATTCTGTTTGTTCCACTATTGGAGTAATGCAGTTGAACTGTCTACAGTTACTATATGCATCCATTATCTGCAAGCGAAATACCAGAGTTAACAATATAAAAAATGCGTCGCAGTAAAAATGATAAAGAAAAAGGAGTCTGTCACTGCCTCACCTCTGCTGGTGTCCAGCGAGCTGTTCCCCAATACATGACCCATCCTTGATTTATAACGAAGTTCATCGCACGTACCAACTCTGCCAAATTATCTCATTTTAATATTAATCCTATAAAATTTTACCACCATTAATAGTACCATATTAGTTTAGTATGTTTCCACTAACCTTCCATAGGGCAAACTGGATCAACTTTATGCAGGAGTACAACATCAATATATTCAACTTGAAGTCGAGCCAGTGACGCCTTAACGCTCTCAACTATGTGTTTGCGAGAGAGGCCTCTTTCATCCGACCTGTTATTAGTATGAGCAAACCTAGTAAATGGAGAGTTCACAGTGTGTTAGCAATTAGCGAGCGAGAAGCATAGGAAAAGCGACAATGTAATACAGTGTCAGCAAGTACCCTAACAGCAAAGTCAAGCTTACACCACTCATCTTTACATGGTTACAACACAAATACTCCTTGGTCGCTACTAAAAATGTAATCGGTATTAGTACTTATATATGGCGACAACATCAAAATGCTTGGATAAACTATGAAGTCATACAAACCACTAACATTTAAGGGCACAGAGAGACACGTCAGCATTGAAGAGCACACACATACAAGAAATACGAAGAATCTCAATGAAGTAATTACTAACGTTACTACATTTATCCCCAATCCGTGTAGATAATCTAAGAAAGTCGGTGGTGAGGAACATCTATTGACACAGGTCGTGCATACCAGGAAATACTCTTTGGGTTATAGTCAGGTACAAAGCACATGTAACACCAACACTTACTTGGTGCTCCAGTACACTTTGGTGGTGATGATAACGCTCGTCCGCCGAACGTTACGTTTCTTTAGCACCCTGCCCAACTCAGCCTCTCCCTTGGCTATTAAAACAATATTTATTTAATATTATAAATTTTAATTAAAACAAAAAACTCATTGTGTTAATTACTATAAATGGCTGACAATCATCTCGAGATTATGCACACATAAATATTAAATAGACATTATATCGATTGCATGTTGGGTGCAGTGGCTGAGCAAACAGTTGCAGCGTAGTGTATTATGGATCCGATTCACGCATCCAATGATGATGCGTATCTATGTTTATAAAACAAAGCTTAATTAACACCCGATGAAGTTCAGCAGAGATTCAGTTCAGCAAACGCTTCAAGATCAGCAAAGAGGTTCATACCTCTTAATCAAAAAATAGAAAAAATCTCGAGATAACATCATAAAACTCAAAAATCAAACTTAAATAAAAATAAAATAATGAAATTGCTAACCGCAGTGTGCTTCAGACAGATCAAAAAGATTGATGCCGTTCTCCAGTGCGGTCATGATGACGTCTTCGGCGCAATCTTCGTTTAGCATGGCCCATATTCCCAGGCCGATGTTGGGCACCCGTAACCCAGATTTGCCCAAATTTTTATACCGTAATCCTGGAGTCACCACCGATGGCATGGTGGTATGATTTCCCATATACGTCGACATGTGTCGCGACACATTTACCTCGCCGGCTGCGTACAAATTGCCTCTGTCAGATTGTGCACAAACTATTAAATATTTTCCTTCTATTGTTATTTAAATCGCCTATTATTTTTCGATCACCTTTGCAGATATGCGTGTGTTTGCGATCAACAGGCAACCTAGATAATTCTATTGCGTTCCATGAATTCATTTATTCTTACTGTATGTATTAATCTTTATTTCTAAATTTCTTTTAACTTTTAACAACATTGTACGTGATATACCAATTTGAATTATATCAAAATATGAATGAATTAATGTTATAAATTTTTGTATTAAATGTTTCGATAATTCATAAGAAAACATAAAGTTCACTACAGTTCGTAGCGAATAACAACAATAAAAAAGCGTCACTATAACTAAGAACCAAATCTATCTACCTAAATGTTTATGTTTTAATTAAGATTTATTTTGTTAAGAACTGAATGAGATTGTTTTGGTTTCGTAAGCCAAGATTTTTGTTGTTGTTGTTTACAACATAGGTACGTGCGGTAGGCGAATAATACACCCCTATCTGAACGATATATCTTTCAGCATCTTCAGAGTCATATGTCAACGGGTTGAATATGTTATGTAAATTTTCGAGAACAGGAAAATGCCATTCAATACATTTCTAGAAATATCGACAAGAATTTTGCATTATGCACGAGATGTTTGTTGAATTGCAAATGATTGAGGCTCAGCTTTGCACTTATCATAAGAGAAGACGACTATTCCTTCGTTCAGCGGACACGTGGATAACACATCAAGTAAGTTGTTGCTCAAAATTCTATTTTAAAATAGAAAATAAAAAATTAAATTGAGAAGGCGACTTTATTATAATATTTTTAACCTACCTTGATCCAACATCTGTTGAGAGTTAGCACTAAAGTCGTCCATACAATCCAGGGACGCGATGGGTGCCCGACAACTAAACAAATATAAACATTTTATAATTAGTTTCGTCGCCAATTCTAGTTTAACACAATTTTGATGAGAAACGTGTTGTTTATCAAAACGTATTTCGTTTTTTAATACACTTTGAAATTTTCATTTTCGTGCTGTTCGCTGAAACAATATTACAGAACTAATTTACTTTTTATTGAAAGCGTGGCGGTGTTTAAAAATAACATCACTGAAGAGCTAAGAAAGTTTGAAACTGTCTAAATTCTGTAATTTATATTCCGCCAGACTATCTGGTTATTATTTTTTTCTATGCGTATTTTTAGGTTATTTTGTTATTCTATTTGTGACAAAGATTTTATTTATATTATTGTAAAAATAGTACCTATTACTAATTTTATATAATGGCACTGTTAATTATTGATTTTATTTTTAACTAGCGGCCCGCCCCGGCTTCGCACGGATCCGACTATCTCGCTATCAAAGGGTCACCTTTTCCTAATCTTCCCCTCTACTTTTCTAATATTTTCTTTGATAAAAACCTTCTCCTGACAATAACAAACACAACAAAAAAATAATTAGCAAAATTGGTCCAGGCGTTGTTGAGTTATGCGCTTACCAACACATTTTGCGATCCATTTTTATATATAAAGATTTGTTGAATATTTGTCATCTTAAAACGGCGCTACAATCTTAGTAGATCGTACGAATGATGGCTCCATTGTTCCCCAAATCACCTAGTACGAGTATTATGTACCTACATGAGTTACGAATGTTAGTAGCTACCTACGTATACAAGATATACATTTTACACTTTTATCTAAGTCTAACATATGTGCGAGCTACGTTGATGATTTATTATTTTTCCAAAAGTTTATCTAATTCTAGGTCTAATGATAAAATAAATATTCTACCTACTTTAAGCGTATATCGAGTTTTCTAAATGATAAAATCGCTAATTTTAATGAGTAAGGCCTAAAGCATTTTATGTCCATGTTTTAAGCTATGGCTATATTCTAAAGTGGCAGTTCGTCGCCATTTGGCGTGCTATTTTTTATTTGTCGATTTAATCAAATAAAAATATATTTAAATATAATTTACATATCTATGTAGGTTTGCTAAGTTGTTGTGACATGCATAATAGTCGTAATGACCGTTCGTGATGTATCGCCTTTACATTATAGAGTTTTTAGATCGGCCTAAATCGGTGAGACGATGTTACTAAAATATCGAAACCGAAAGAAAATAACGAACTAAGAAGTAGATTACAAAATAGATACTAGGGTTATAGTGAAAGCAAGGAAATAGGTGTTAGGCAAGGTGGTGAAGAGACAATGTGACACAGTAATATTCATATCACCATACCTGTGGGTCGTAGCCGGCCAACTCTGTCTCTGCCATCAGCATGAGGTAAGCCAAGCGATCGTATAACTATTGTCGCTGATATCTTAGACGGCTGACCACCTGTGGCGAGCTGTTCCATCGTCAAACGTGGTTACGTAACGCCTCAAGGTGTAACAACCGTCTAAGATAAAAGCTGTCCGTGATACCTACTCGCATGCGAAGATCGCGGTGTGCGATGCTGCGTAGTGCGCTCTCAGCTTTATTTGCCATTGGGAGAAGACATAACATTTTGGATAACAACTGCAGTTCGCGTCGGCTGTATCGCTCTAGGCAAAGTAGTACTATGAGTACTCAGTCGTTGACAGCGTGTCATGCGAAAGTCGCTGAGCGCAAAGTTGTCATGCAGGCGCTGCTGGTGGTGACAGTAGCGGTACGTCTTCTCCCTGCACGGCTGTCTTCGAACATACAGTTACCGATATATGGTGGGCATGGGGTTGGAGTCGACGCTCATGCTGTCAGGCGGCCCCAGGGGCGTGTGGGGGGTGCATCGGCTGATGGTAGACTCGCTGCGAGACATCTGCGAGCCCTCCTTGCCGCCGCCGACCTCTGCCCCCTTGCATTGCATCTCGTGTCGCCTCATTCTGCTCCTACGCTTAGCAACGGCATCTTATCTCCCTACAAACATCTTATCTGTAACGAAAAGTTCATACGCCTCCGCCGCACACCGACCCACACATATACAACCCCACAAGTCAACTCAAGGATAGGACACGGCGGGTTTAGTTAAGTAACACACTCAAGGAAATAGACACAGATACATGCAAGCCCTACGCTAACATCTAGTCAGCTAAGGGTACACAAAACGGACTGATCCACGTCAAAGGAACATCTAAGCGTAGAACTATCGCGCTTGAAATCAAACAAAGACTAGGAACGTAAAATTGCCGATAAGTGATCACGAAAACCGAACCGAATCCACCAGGAGTGTCGCACTCACCAGGGTTGCCTGGAGGATCTACGTACTAAACATCTGATGTTGCGATGCGACACGTCGTCAAATATACTGCGACCCTTACGAGACTGTATTGCGGGTGTGGGGAGGGCACGGCTACGACACTAAGCCGCAGGGTGGTGCCCCGCCTGTTCAAGTTCGCGCATGCGTGAATCGTGCCCACCGATTTGTTCTCTTTCTATTTTCATCTCCTAGCTGCCATTTTAGTCTTGGTATTTCTTTTTGGTTGAGCTTGAAATAAATAATAAGCGTACCACTTGATACCTGGCTAAGAATATGACCTTAGATACCAATTGTTAACTTAGATTTGCCGGTGCAGTCAGTTAGATCGATCTAGCCCCTTGCTGAGGGTGGTTGAAAAGACTTTGTATTGGTTGGTTGGTACTAAGTAATTAAGTATTCACAAAAAAATGATAATTTTATAATGAACTCATAAAATACTCACTCACTTAATACTGATTAAAATGTATTGTAGAAAACCAAACGAATCCGTCATTATTTTAGGTGAACACATTTAATTTAGCTTGTTAAGAAAAACTTAAGTAACTTTATATTCGTAGTACCTACTGAGTTACATTATTTTGTTACAGTCGCTTAGACAAACACACTACCCTTTGAGCTGTCAAAGCATTTTTATTGCGACCATAGAAGTAGAGTTGTGCAGGTTGTACATTGAACCTGAAAGGCCAATGAACCTAAACATAACAAAACCTGTGACTCGTTACAACACTGCTCAGCAAGTTAGACCTGGAAGATTAAATAATCCCACTTCCCAATGGCAGATACCGAAATATTCTGAGATCATTTTTCACACGATCGAAATCAAATATAATATTCGCTTTAGAGCAGAAAGCATACATTTAAAATATTTGTGTGTTTCAACAGAGAACATTCGGCATCAGCATTAGCAAGGGTGAAGAGCTCAACTTACCCCTGGCACGACGGAGGGCGGTACAAGTCATCGTCAGCGTTTGAACTTATATCAACGGTCGAGTTTTGCCACTGGTTTTCACTGGTCATATTGCATTCAGCGCTGACAGTAATAACGCAGCCCCCTGGGGAACCACAGTCGCTGTCAAGGGAAGCGTCTGCGAACAAAGGAAAACGAGATCATAAAGAGCTCGTCAGAGTCAATCTGAAAATGCATCTACGTCCCGAGCCTGCTCCATTTTACGTGAGCCATATGAATGAAACATTATAACGTAAGTACCTACGATACGCTCCTATGTGAAATAGGCCGCTTGTAAAATAAATCATACTTCCTATAGTTAGCATGGCGGCAAAGTTCTATTACACAGTTTTGTGTAAATAAATTACAATTTGTTGTTATTATTTACCGTAACTGTATTAAATAAATATTTATTCATAAGTTCAAACTACTATAAATCAGAAACATACTTGGTAAGTTATACATATGTTAAACATGAAAGTGTCAGCAAATAGTAATTAAGACTTATAATGAGTTTTTTCATTAACAACACCTAATGATTATGCCGGTAAACTCGTTATTATTGAATTGCGCCAGTTTAGTACCTGGTCTGTGGTCAAATTAGCATTAGCATAAGCAAGAGTATACAATTAGACTAAATACTTACCTCTGCAAGGGCCGAACCTACTAAAGTTGAGGATGATCCCATCGTCGATGCTGTGACTGGATTCAGGTTTAGTCAGTTGCGTGCTGCACGATTTCCTCAACATGTTCTAGGTAAATCAAATAAATATATTAAATCGTTCTCTCCTTTCATTCATAAAAAAATTAAAAAGCTCAAAAAAATATTAACTCAGCCGAAAAGGAGCCCGGCCGCAGCCGGCCGCGGCGGCGCGGGCTCGTACGGAAGAACGTGGGCGTGAGGTAACACGAACTAAATCATTGGAATAATTTCGGAAACTGCAATAATTATCACGAAATAGTCTCAAAAACCATTTTATATCTTTACACAAAACACTTTTACAACAAATTTCAACTAGTATCTGAATTAACACACGGTGGCGGAGCGAACGCGGAAGCCGACTTGTTGCAGCAAGGCGAATGTTGCATCTATTGCACCGTTGCGTCGCCGTCGATCCCGTCAGCTATTCCCTACCTATTTTTATAGGTCAATATATTCGCGCATGTGTCGAAACCCGATAATTTATGACATGAGCACTAGAGTCCCTGGATGGCTAGATAGGGCGGACCTCCCTTTACGCCGACGGTGCAGTTTATTGATTCATCCTTCCGGAGTCAACAGATACATTCAGATTTCTATAGGCAACTGGACCGCCATATTTTATGTCGCACACACTATTACAGGACAGTTATGTCTGGAGTATGGCACCGACAAGTAGCTATCTGTAGTTATAATTACGCTCATAGCTTTTAATTATTTTGCGTGGACAGAAAATCTGTGTAATTGGTGATTTATGCTATTCTGCCAGAACAACTAAATACACAATAGATTGGCGTCCTGTAAACAAAACACGCCGTGCCCATGAACTTGAATTCAGGAGTGAAGAGTTGATTGAAAACAAAGGCCCAAAAAGTAAGTGAGATAATTATTATTCCACAATACAAATGTATAACTGTTACTTTTGGTATGAAATTGTTGTGTGCGTAAAATACGTAATAGATATTTTAATTAACCAAAACAAACATGTTAGCAAAACTTTCGCTTGCTTGAAGCGTGAATCGAACCTCAACCACGGTGTAACTCTACTACCTAATATCCATACAACACTTAAGTGCCGACTTTTTTTAATGAACGTTACACATCTTACCTTCGAATTTAATAAAAAATAATATTTACATGTTGTATATGTATACGACAAAAAGTAAGAAGCACTTCTTAAAAACACAATGTTATTAAAGGGTCTGTTTCACTGGCTTCATATAAGTACCCAATAAACTTATGTCAGTTCAGACAGAGTACGTTCTCTAAAACTTATTGCATTTTATCGCTATAAAGTGGCTATCTAGACATCACCAGTGAAACAGGTCCTTAATAAATAAGCATGCAATTGAAACTTTATAAATGTTTAGTAGGTATATAGGTTTTGAAAGCACGGCCCATTTAAAATGAAATATTACTGAGTTGTTTGTGTGGTTGAACAAGCTAAATGATAATATAGCTGTATGATATGAAGAGCACTCTCCCCTATCGTCAACAACTAGTTTTGAAGACCAATAAGCAAATTTCTTTTCCGAACTCATAAATAAAAATGTTGCGGGTTACATAAATCCGAGATCCAACTTTGCGATCGTCAGTTGTAATTTATACATTATTACTTCAACAGAAAGCTAACTTCAAAACTGCATTTAACAAGTACCTTATTGCTTTGATAAGTACAATTTGAGAAGCTCCCAGGAATATTAGTTTTCAAATCAAGCGTAGCCATCCAAGAGAAATCCAATGTCCGGAAGGATTGAGGAGGCACTCCCGTTTTTGCAATAAAGTAAAAATAAGCTGATATGGGGTTTCTTTTACAAATCACAAGATTCCTCACTGCTCCTCAATCTTTAGTAGTCTTTACGGACATAAAATTAGTGACAGAGGTAGGTTTTAGTTTAAAAGTTGGCTTTTAAATTCTAACTTCTACGAGTACAAATGATTCACAAATGTTGAAATAATTCGTCGTGTAATAATTTTCCAACAATTTCAGTATTTTATCTTTTTAATCCAAAAATCAATACAAATGCTATTATTAATTTTTAGGGAAATAAATTAAAATACCCGCTGATATTTGGTTGTGTCTGGTATCGAAGGTCGACTGTGGTGCAGTCTTGCAGCCTGACGCTGCAGATCACAAAGCCTGTGGTGTGACCAGGACGTATTCATCCCTCGCAGTCTCTCTACTGCCTCTGCGATCTGAACCAACGCAGAATTTCAATAACATGAACAAAGAAAGTAAGTCCCATACCAATTCTTAAATGAAATCATAAAATCCTAAAACGTTTTTTCTGTAATTGTCTTTGATATGCACTTAAAGCTTTGGAACAGCTTCACTGGCTTAAAGTATGCATACATACGTAGGTACCTTTTGTATTTTTAAATCGTTCGGATTGTTGCAATGCTAAAAGATTAAAAAATGGACATCATTCTACATAAAGTTTGTGTAATGACATCTCTTACAGGGTTATGGTAATGCTCTGAATACGTAATAGCGTGCTCTTGGCTAACAGGTGGTTGATCACTGAACGGTTTTCAGAGTAGGAACAAACTTGCATAAGAATAATGCCTTTGTTTTTATCGAACAGAAGGCATTGCGGAATGTGTGCTATTAAAATAATGGTTATAGTTAGGTTGATATGATAAATTAGCGGAGACATAGTATGCTAACTTGTCGTCCGTAATATTTTTCCAAACATAAGTAAACACTGCGCCAGTAATCCAAGTTCCGATATTTTAAAAGTAAAAGAAATCAAACTTTCTCCTATTCAGACAGAGATGATAAGTGTGGTATATTTTATCGATGTTTCGTGAGTTTAAGGGAGAAGTTTAAAACATTAAAAACTGGGTACGGGAAGCCCACAGCTTCCAGCAGCAGTATAGGCATACTTTAAAAAAAATGCTGAGCTTTCAATATTGAAATACTGAGAGTAAGAAGAACTTAGAGGTATATGTAATATTTTCAGCTCGTGGATCATACAGTGGTCAGCAGGGCGGTGCCAAGTCAGGACTGGGAGGAAAGGGAAGTTACTTGGAAAATGGCTTAAGATTTCTTTTTAAACCAAACTTCGTGAGACCGCCAGGTCTAGTGGGAGCTCCAGGTATAGTGAGAGTACCAGGAGGTATCTTATATGTCCCAGCCAGTGTCGTGAGTACACCTGCTGGTATTATGAGGCCACCGCCTGATATCATGAGAGCATCGAGTGGCTTAGGTGTCGAAAGTCTACAGATCCGGCCAATCAAGGCATGGAGAGGACCGGGAGTAGGACAAGGACTAGGCGGCGTTGAGAAAGATGGGGTCATAACCCCAAGCAGGCCCTATGACGTCGGGAAAATCAACACAGTACCAGACTGGATCGAGAGGCGACCGGGAAGTGTAGAGAAACTAGATACCCTTGAGATAAAACCAGGTGGCAGTCAGACAGAACCAAGCCACATTGGGAGAGGCCATGGCAGCAAGCCGCTAGGTACATATCACTAGGTATCACTACTTACATTTCCACTAACTTTTAAGTTAGTGGGTATGTACTGTGATACACTTTAAATGTTGTCTTTTCATCGTGTATTTATTTTTCAACACTTCTACGAACACACAATAAATCGCTCTCACTGATTCTCTCGAGATTTGACAAGAAAAAACTAAAAATAAACAAGATTTAAGAATAACTATTAACTAATACTCCAGTAACTAACTCAAGATAAATACTTCTAGTATGGAAAGTTCAATTTAGTGGTTTCAAAAGCGATCTGGTAAGTGTGAATATCTTAGCAGATTAATACACTGATAGCGATTTATTGAGCGATTAGAATGTTATACTATAATGATGCAATTATAACACTGATACGATTTCAGTAAAATACTTATTAGGCATACGTTAGCCCTATAATAATGTACTTTGTACAATGCGTTTAATATAATTGTCCTTTCAAAAGTCTGAATGATATACTAAGATGACAACATATTATACTGAACGCACTGTATTTATTCAGTTACTTCTCTCTTTTTGTCCTCCTCAGCTTCAATGGCCCGCTGGTGGAGCAGCTTAATGTCAAGTTGCCTGATTTCCTCTGCCTCTCTCGCTTGGCACTCCTTCTCCTTAAATGTATAGATGTGTAGACATATGTTTAATAAACAGGGAACATGATTATAAATGACTACGGTTGTGATATAGTTTTCTATTATAAGTGGTAAACTATCTCTCTCGTTAAACACTCATGTTATCACGTCTCGAACAAAATTCCAGAATGCAGAATGTTTTGATGCAAACAGTATTTCGCGAGGGGCTTTTTTCTATGGGTGTTTCAAATTTGCATGCGTTATTGTTTATTGTAAGCATTATTGTGTTTTTCTAAATACCTTCTGAAGTTGCTTTTCGTGCTCGAGTTTCTGTTGCTCAAGCTCTTCTTCCGGTATCGGTGGGGTCTCATCACCGCTGGACGCATGTTTGTTCCCTAAATAAATTGATACACCAAAATGTTTAGGTAATACACAGAACAAAACTCCGAGAGATAAATGTCAAAGGAACCTACCAGTAGGTGGGTGATATGAAATCCAAAACTGATGAGCCATCACTACCAAGTACACTACACTGTAAAATTTATTAGACAAACTTTTTTCAGCCAAGGCTGGTACGTTTACGGCTGAGAATACCAAACGAATACTGAAACACGTATAAACCGTAAGATTTTATTCATAGACGTTTATTTTCATGGTAGAGTCTGAGCGAACTTACGTTGTGTAGAACCGATTGGCAAGAGGCCAAGAGACTGCGTCGCAGTAGACCGTCCCTTACACAAACCTCGTCATTTTTGCCGTAAATTTATTTTCAGTTGTTTTTCCTCTATTTAACATTTTGTAGGTTAGTTTATGTTTACTTTTAGCCCTTTTTGCTGTTTAATGTCTAGTTTAAGTATTCACTAGGTATTTTTTATTGATAAGCGAACTATAATAACTTACTCAGGCGTAGACTAATATACCTCCTAGTCGGCCATTCTCAATGATGGATTAATCGAAATTATTTGATTAATTGAAAAACTTCGATTGTTGTTAAGAGATCGGTAATTAATATCAGCTGAAAAAAAGTGCAACAAATGAACTAAGTTTATACATACAATCACAGAAACCAAAGAATTCGCTAATAAGTACCAGATGTGTCACGATGTCTCGATAAATGACCCATAAAGTTGCGTCTCATTTTGGATTCACACGAACTTTTATGAAGTCAAAAACTATCTCGTTTAAGTAAAAGAACTTGCCATCTTTTTCCGAAGAATTAATCAAATAGTTTTACGTAGAGGTGTAAAAAAAAGTTTTTAACTACTTACTTGGAAGGGTGAAGACGACTGAGTTAGCTAGCTAGCTCAATAGGATTCTAACATTTTATGATGACATGACAGACCCACTGATCAGGATACATAATAATTTAAATTGGCTAAGTCACAAACTAACTGACTGCCTCCCTATTACAATTTATACCTTAAAATCATACTTTATTTATTTTGTGTGTATTAAATTTTCCATGACCAATCTTTAGTATAAATTACGTTCAGTTAGGTACCGACATTCTTTACAATTTACTTCCTGTTAAAGAAGGTTACACGTGGGAATTCATCAATCGCTGTTTTTGCAAAACAAATCCCCTAGGTTTGCGTGCGGAGTCTAAGGGCCATTCAAGTAATACGAGGGGTGAACTGTCGACGTCACCCTAAGTCCTTGACCTTGAACGAGAATAATACAAAAATCGAACACCACTAGAGTCGTAAGTCGTGAACGCGTGTCTCGCAAACCGGTAGGGCAATTTGCACAATGCTCCGGAACGTGAGATTATGCAATGTAAGGGGCGTGTGTTTTTTTGTGTTTGTAATTTACTTTAGTAAACTTTCTTAGTCAATTGAACCCTGAAACATAACTAACAACTAGAAATAGTTTTCTACGTATTGGTACTATTAACGTAAAAAAAAAATTTTACAAAATAAAAAAACCGCCTTCAAAAAAAGTCAAGCAATAAAAGTTCCTACACTAAAAAGTAAAAAATAACAATTTGAATTACTGTAAAAAAACTTAGTTTATAGGTAAACTTATTTGACATTAATATTTTGCAAATATTCAAAATTTATTACTTATTTTTGGAGTCGGTGCCAGCATTTTAATGTTGAAACTTAATGTTAGTTAGCTTTTTAATATCCGGTGCCATTTTTCGTACATAATGCTTAAACATTTTCAATGTACTTAAAATGTTTTTGTAAGTATATATTTTTTATTTAAAAAAAATGTGCAAATCGGACATTTTTTGTAGAGAAGTCTAATCTGTATTTATGTCTTAATTAATATACCTATATTTGAGTATGCAAATAGGTATTAAGTAGTTTTATAATTAAGTAAGAGGTAGTTTTTCAAGGGATTGTTGCCCATTTGTATTTCCTTGCATGGGCTGGCACCGACTCCAAAAATAAGTAATAAATTTTGAATATTTGCAAAATATTAATGTCAAATAAGTTTACCTATAAACTAAGTTTTTTTACAGTAATTCAAATTGTTATTTTTTACTTTTTAGTGTAGGAACTTTTATTGCTTGACTTTTTTTGAAGGCGGTTTTTTTATTTTGTAAAATTTTTTTTTATTTGTAGCCGTTTAGTGTTTTTTTTTATTATAATGTGTTATGGCAAAGAAGTCAATATCGTTCCTACATTTCTTTTGAAAAAGTTACCAATGTCATACTTATACGTAGAAATACATATCATAGTACATTGTTACTGTGTAATCGTTTTGATCTCGAGGAGAGATGATATGATGCATGAGATACTTATGACTTATAGTTAAAAAAAAATAATAATCTTATCATAAATTCATATTAGTTCTCGCCAAATAACAAAAAACTAGATATTTTCATCAACAGACAGATAAAGTTCAAAGATACCAAATGCAATCTAATTTAGTATCTATGATTAAATACATTCGTACATAGAAAAAAGACCGATGCAATTATTGTTTTGTATCAATTGTAACCCATTAAATGAAGAATACTATTTTGTTATTACTAAGAACATTCATATATAGACAAGTTGGTAAAAATACAAAAGACCATCGCTATTGTAAATATACATTTATGAGTCATTCAATGTATGAACCTTTTTTAAGTAAGTATTATCTACATATGTGCACACAAAAGAAACACAATTATTGTTTTGTACGACGCAATTATTGTTTTGTAACCCATTTAAAACGACTATTTTGTTAATAAAAATGCCAATGAATTCTCTTAGCCTATTACCAGGAAAACGATAAGAACACAATGACGCATTTCACCACTAATGTGTAAACGCAGTCCACGTGGACTAATGCAAAATAGCCAATACTAAGCCAAACTCCGCCCCCAAAGGTGTGCGGTCCCGCTCTAGAACCTTTCGGCCCCATCGGCCATCTGTTCTACAGCAATGTGCCGTGCCCACTGTCACTTAAGTTTGGCATTTCTTCGGGCTATGTCGGTGACGCTGGTTCTTCTGCGGATTTCTTCATTTCTGATTCGAACATGCACGGAAACTATGAGCATAGCCCTTTCCATTGCTCTTGACAGCTCTAATAAGCTTACACAATACGCTTCATCATCACATCAGTTCAATAGTACCTTACAGCCAAAGTGCATCTTATAACAATTCTAACAAGCCCAAACACGGCTAGGATATATTAATTAGGTACGCAGTTCCAGTGCCTACCTTCCAGCTCCATAATCATCATTAAATCAGTTCGATGATAACATTTCCAACATAATTATTTAAGATCATTGGTTTACAGTGCATTTTCATAGTTGCTGAACTACCTTGATTGTGATATCTATGCGAGTGTCAAGTTTCATCACCCATTTCTGATCTTCTTCACCAGTTCCACCCCATCAAACATTACTTTTTGACTGTAAATGCTTGAGTGCTCTATGAAAATATTAAAATTACTATATAGTTGCCTATAATATTTGAGGAGTTCCCTCGATTTCTCATGGATCCCATCATCAAAACTCAATTTTGAAAAGAATGGGACCAATCTGGAAGCATATCCTTTCAATCATAAAAAAAATTTTGCAAATCCGTCCATAAACGACGGAGTTCTGAGGTAACAAACATAAAAAAAAAAAAATAAAAAAAAAAAAAAAAAAAAAAATACAATCGAATTGAGAACCTCCTCCTTTTTTTGAAGTCGGTTAAAAAGGGAGGGGGCAGTATCTAAACATAATAAAAAATATCTGTACCTACATGTATGAACAAAACATAGATACCATACCTAAATAGAATATTTATCATAAAAAGACTGAGTTTATTTATGCTCTATGACCATAACAGCAAACGTAAAAACATGCGTTAAGTAAAGTGCACAATTTGTCGTACCTAGGATCTGGTGGAATGTTAAGTGATTTCAAGTTTTAGGTTTTCTTCACTTGGTATAATGAAAAAACATTGAAAATGGAGTATACAAATATTATCGAGAAGATTAAACGAGAAAAACGCCAGTGGTAGACTGGAAATCATATCAGATCTAGAGGAGAAGGAATTTTGAATGACAATTCATAATCTTTCAGTCTTCAGAATTTCAAAGAAGTACTAAATTGAAGGTTATTTAAAGGGATTTCATGTTTCTCAAGATCGGGAAAGAATTGCTAAAATATCACCTAAAACTTAAAATATTAGTCAGAAGCGCGATATTTTGCTTTCCGATTCTGTCTGAATTTGCTGACTGAAAATAATCGAAGAGTAAGTAGATAAGAGAGAGCCAAAACAGAGTATTTGGTAAAAATTACACAAACTTAATATATTTTTGTATTTAATATATATTTAATATTAATTGTGCCTAAGTAGGTGTAGGTACCATTGGATCGCAGTACAATAGGATGGAAAATAAAAATTTGGCCACTGAGTACACGTCTTTATTTCAACCAGACTATTTAATTGTCATGCTTTTATATTATGATTTATTGATTAGGTCGGTATATTATTTAAAACGTACAAAATTTCCTAGATGTCCCGTGGCTCCATATCCTTGATTACAATACAATACATGATGTATATCGGTTGGGGCTTTTCATCTCCTAAAATATACCTACGACTGGTATAAACGATGCAAAAACCATTTTTATTATCACAATTAAAAGCGTTGCCGCGTGGTAAATAGAATGAAAACATCTTCTATATTATTTGAAATTGTGTGTGTCTTTTTACAGGACTATCTAATTAAAATTAATGGTTTTGCTTTGATTTAATGAACCTTTCTTTTGTGGATGTTGGCACTTGCTAATCAATTGTGGATCTAATTAGGATTAGAATTCGGATTCAACGGGAAGAAAAGCCGAATGTCGTCACTGCGCGAACCACACCACGAGGCTTTTTTGTTTCTCTCGCTCTGCATCATGGCCTGGATCAAGGTACCAGCAGGGCATACCGTCACCGTATGCTTCACCATGGTGACGACCATGGTGGTCTTGGTCCAGACAATGGCGCAAAGCGAGAGGAATAAGGAAGCCACTAATTCTGCGTGCGCATCAAGTAAAGATACTCTTCACGACAGAAGACACTCTAGGCATCGGGGATTGCGACAATCTCATATGATCAGAACCAAATCGAGCGTACTGCTCTTAAAGAATCATCAAACGACTAGAGATGGGGCCCATTTGGGTCGATACCCAGCCAGGTTTGCACGAGCAAACACAATTAAGTACCGCTTCCATGTTTGGAGCAGGAGAAGGAACGGGGGCTTAAGCCACTGGATGATTTCCCCCCCAAAAAGAATACTGTCGGTAGATACCTATATTAGAGACAGTGGAAAATACATTATGACTCGCGTATATCTAAGTTCAGACTCACCAAGAGTTAAAGGTCGCGTTTCTAATATAGGCTAACCTATCCAAGCCGGCGAAGTTTTAAATTTTCATCCCTCTTGCCAAGTATAGGCAACCTACTTAGAAAACTTACTTTAAGAAAATTATGTCAAATGATAATGATAATAATATTAAACAACAGTTCCTATAATTAATTCAAGTGAAGTTATCATTTTTTCTTTGTAGCCTTCTGGTCATGTGAAGAGTTTAAGTACCGAATATTTTTTATCATTATCTATTAATTTCCATAAACTTTATACACCTCTTTACCCCTACCTATATGTATAGGTAATGTGTGCCTTAGATAGGTACTTACCTAATATTCATTATTTTTTACCCACTTTGATGTAATGAAATATGAAAGCATTAGTGAACTGTAAAAACGCTAGGAACGAACTTTCGTAGCTAGTGGAAAATTCACACCTTATTAAATTGACAAAATAGCCGTATATATAAGCAGGTATTATAACAAATACCTAATATTTGTATAAGTACTTGGTATAAGTACAATAGTGTCGTGTAGGTTGCTGATCTTTCATATTTCATGTACCTACAGGAACTCTTGTTGACCTTTATTTTATTTATCTAATAAGTACAATAGTTCACGAGCACACGAGTTATACCTACAAAAGCAATAAGTATATCTACTTATGTCACTGTAAATTAAGGCATTTATACTTTTTTATAAAGTAAAAATATTACATGTACTTTTTTGTTTCTTTGTGTTACCTCCCCATTTTATATTATAATTTATTTCTTATTACAATGTTACTTTTATTCATTCGAGCAGTTAAAATTGCCACAAGGGTCTTATTTATATTGAGTAATGACTGTGACTTGATTCGAAATTTGAAAGCGATGTAAGTAACAAGTATCAATACAAAAAATCGGCAGCATTGAAACTTTCCTTACCTACGTAGGTAGGTAATTATTGTTTAAACGACTGAAACAAAACGTAAGTAGTGGTTTGGGTATTTGTTATGCTACATTACAATTGTTTGACATTCATCAATCTTACGAAATACCTACTAACGTTGCTAACCATTACTAAAATTTCAGTTACCTAAACCGTGCCATACGTAGACCTACCACAAATTTACTTTTTAACAATTTTGCCCCCTTACTGCATTTAGGCATTGAAATATAATTTTCTTTTTTTTTGCAAATTTGCTTCTTAAGTAGGTACTCTTGAAATTAAGCATCATTTTTGTAACATTAAGGAGATTTGCTCGATTAGTAGAAAATAGATACTTCCTAGATACAAGGATTAAGAATTATTGAAAATTCATACCTTCATTAACTATATATGACTTGATATGAGCTAAAGTAAAATCTTATAATTTTTCTAAATAATTGATTATAAAATATTCAAACACCAAAACAGGAAGTTTGTAAAATTATATTTTCATAGTGTTGCCAGTACAGAAAAATCGGCAGATGTTAACTGTAACATTCTGTGTAACATACAAAATTATGTTTGAATTATATTCATTTAACAATGTTCTCTGTTCAATTTATCGTAAAACTTAATTTTATTACTTTTTCTTAAGCACACACATACTGTGTGTATTTAGTAAGTTAAGCGAGAATATCGCACCACATAGTAGTAGCTCTAATCTCTACCATCGGTTTAGGTCAAAGCAGAAAAAAAAACAAATAATGTCTACGGTTGACGCCTTGACGCTTGATGATTTTTTTCAATTTTTATTCAATTTACTCAAAAATTTTGTCGTATACTCGTGATTTAATCAGATTATAACAAGTAATACATTAAATATTCACAAATGATTTTGATCCGGACGTATTTGGGCCCGAGCGAACAAGGACGGAATACTTACATGGATATAATGCGCGTTTTATCATTCTGCATGTGCGTGAAAGAAATGTCAGTTTAAAGAATGGTAAAATACGTAATTTCTTGCCGTGTTAAAATGTAATGCATCTGAACAAGTGTGAATAATACTTTTGCTATGTGATAGTGTGTGTGTTAAAACAGATGATCAATCCCGTTGTAATGAAACGAACAAAAGTATAGTGTTGGGTAGCTAGTTTTTGACAGCCGGCAGGCTCGTCGTAAGTGACTTACGATTGGCCCCCTTTAAAAATGAACAGTCGTAGTAGTGTAAATGAATCGAATTTGGTGAATCTCTCAGGGGATCTGTTGAATCCATTGGACACGAAAGAGTCGTTGGCGCTGAGTTTTCCGTTTGATCATATATACGCCTGCCACTCGGAGGAATCAGATCGCCGACAGGCGCATCTCGACAAAGAAGTAGAAATTATTGCCCACCCTGATGATAAAGAACCGGGGGCTCCTGGGGAACAATCACTTGAGGTCAGTAGACTCTCAGAGAGATTAACTGCTGCTGAAATTCAAAATCAAAGATTGAAAAGTTTACTTGTCTATCATCTGGATTTGATACAACAACAAAATGATCTTATAACTAAGAAAGAAAAACAAAATACTGCTCTACAATTGGAAAATGACTCTGTAAGTACATTTTCTGGATATTGCTTAGTCCATTGTAGTAAAAAAAATATTAGGTGATAATGTAATCTTGTTAATGTTAAAATAAGATGCAATGAATTTTTGTCAGTTCGCATGGCATGTAAATTCAGTATTATTATAAACAGCAAATATTGACATCTCGGAGAGGCTTTGATTCTGGCCCGTCTGTACAAATGCCAAGACTAGTTTATCAACATATGTAAAATTTTTTGTAAGTCCTCTTTTAATTAAACTTTGAAAAAAAACTATAATATTTCAAAGAAATATGACAATATTGACATGTAGCATTCCTAATTCACATAGTGGTTATGTTGAAACATTTACAAGTAGTGTTTTTGTTCAATATTGGCTGAAATAGGTTACACTAACCTGGTTCTGCCAAAAATACATGTTTGTTGACTTTGTAATTCGGTGTTTCTAACCCAATTGAGACTTGCGAATTGTTTCTAATATTAATAATGCCAAAAGTTCAAGCAACTGCAATGTTCTAATATGTAATAAGTCTCATATGGTTTAAAATATTTGTGTTAAAAATGTACAAAAAATGATTTGAAAATGATAACAATTTGCATAACAATGATACAAGTTATGCTATTAGTCCATATTGAGTACCACAAAAACATGTTTTCTTAATTTAAAAATCATTTTAGCAATTAATTTTAAAAATATTGCTAGGCCGTTTTTACTATTATTGAATGGTTAGCTATTAACCTAACTTCATGTTTTGAAACATTTCTTGAAGATTGGATAGTATGTTAAAATATTTTGCCGAGAACAAGTTAATCAGATTTTGTGAACACTATTAAATGTTATTTAAAGGGGCTCGTTAACATTTTCTAATTAGGTAAATTAGAATTAAATAGCTTATTTGGTAAATTCCTAGTTATTCAAATTACAATTAAATTTTCACTGTAGATTACTTATAGTCTGAATTAAGAAAAGGCTACTTTTATCCCATCTATCTATGTAAATATACTAACAGAAGCTCATACTACATTAAAATCATCACTCATGTATTCAGATTCATAATAATATTGCACTGCGAAATGACGTTGCTTTTGGATTAGCATTTGCATAATCATAACATGTACCTGTGCATACTTTCTTGCTAGCTAAATTATTTTATGCCTAATTTATAAAATTTTATTGCAATAGCTATTGTTTTAGTAGCATATGCGATTTATTGTGATTATCAAAATTTTTAAGTATACAATGTTACTTAATTAAAATAAAATTCTTTATTAAAACTTTTTTATGGCATTCTAGGCTCTTGTATCAGAGATATTATATGTAAATTATGTATGAAATCGATTATGTAACTACAGGCGCAGTATGTAAAACATAGGTTTATTGCATGCCATTGTATTACCATTTTAATGTTTTATTTACATCACCTACATTACCATTTGCAGCTTAAATCTAAGGTGACGCGTATGGACAGAAGGATAACAGTGAGTCAGAGGCATAATGTTAATACTGCACCTGTTTTAAATCTGCCACCTCCCACAAGTGTGCCACCTTCTACAAGCGCACCAACCCCAACTAGTGTAGCGCCGCCATCTCCTAGTCCTACAATCAAAACTGAACCGGGAACTTCTGATAATCAGGTAATTATTTACTTAGCAATATACTGATGTATAACTTAGATATACATTTAATATGCATCTAGGCTACTAAATATTCTGTTACTAGTACTAATTTATTCACAAAATCTGAGAACCTTAAGATTAGTGATATTAAATTAGGCATAGTATTTCATTGTATTTTTAACACAAGCATATTGTTAGTTATATTACATTAAATATTTTGATATTTATTCACTTATTTCTAATTCACTGAACCTAATTCTCTTTTCTGTTTCAGTTGGTCTATAATAGTATTTCTGATTTTTTGGTGCCAGAAACTAGAAAGAGTCCATATATTTTCAATGATATTACTAAAACAAAACCTTTGATGCCAGACACCTTTGATTTGAATAGACCTGCAGAATCAGGTAATTTTTTTTTATATTTATTCAGATATTTTTTATTACTGAGTGAAACACAAAAAGCAAAAAATAATAATAATATGTCTTTTAATAAATAAACTACACATACTGTGTTATACCATTATTGTTTCTTTTATATTTTCGTTTAATAATTATTTTCTACGGCTCATCCACCATGGCTTAGGAAGTGTCCTTAACCAATGTTCGTGTTGTGTTTGACAATTTTATTACTTTAAGCCGAAGAGTTTCTATAATTGGGTGTTATCATTACAGTCTTATTTAGACTGCTGCAGGTATAATCATTGGCGATTATTTTTTTATTGACTTGAGTGCTAATAAGTCAGAAAGTATACCACCTTGTATCGATAAAGGTAAATTTAACAGGGCAATTCGTGTCGTGTCTGTATGACTTTTACTGAACCATATTAATGTGTAAATTAGTGCAAAGATGTCAATTTGTCATGCACCCGTTATGTGCAAAGTTCAAAGTATTGCCAATTATCCAATAAAGCAGTTCTCACTTGTGGTCATATCAATGACATTCCGTTTAAATTGATAGAAAATGTAAATCTAAATTGAATTTCTGCGTGCTATTCAATTTATTCTATTGTCGGATTGGTCAGTTTCGGTATAAAAAATTGCATGTCCCATTTTTATTGAGACATTATAATTTAATGTTGCAATAGAATTTTGATACTAGCTGATTTTACAATTCCCAAGCGAAGTACTCTTTCATTTTTCATTGAATACTTAATAAATATGTTAAATTTGTAATCTTTTGTAATTTCATCAGTGCTGAAAATATTTTACCTAAATATAGAAGAAACTTACTTTTATTTGAAACGATCAATTGGTTTTTGTAAACAGGCGATAAAACTGTAACTTTAGTTGTCAACATTATAAAAAGAAAATATGTATGAAGCTGCTTTGTCATTAGCTAGTTCATAATGTAACGATATTGTTTTGCTCGAAATCGACAAGATAGTAAAGGTTATTCAATGGCCTCGAAAGGCGCGGTGGGGCTGAAAATACCCTATGCCATATTCATATATTTTCAATCGATTTTACTCATATCTGGATGCACTGACTGAAATTCTATTGTCATTCTGGTAGCTAGTTTCATACGAGTTTGTCTTCTGAATCTGAATTTTAGTTTCTTGTGGGTGTAGTGGAGTTTATTTAGGGTGTAAATAATGTTTTATTATTTTATTTTGATATATCCGTGAATTTATTTCATTTAATATAATAATTTACAATAGTAAGTGTACGATACAACTGCGTGATTGGCAAAAGTAAAGTAAAGTAGTCGTTAGTTATTACTGAAGTCTAGTCCTCGAAATCACCGATTGGATGTCTTGAGAGTGAGAAGAGTTAATAACTGACGCCTTATTGAAGTAACTTCAAGAATCATCAGCTGCAGATACACATACAGGTCCATATGACAGTATAAATTAGGCGCATATAATTTTGAGAGCTTGTTCGTTTTATAGATGTTTATTACATGTGTATTAGCATGTTTATGTGTATCGCTTTAACTCAATGTTAGTACTGAATTGTTATTGTTCAATGTTTTGGTATGTAATTCATGTTAAGATACAGCAGTCAGCAAAAGTTATAGTACAATATTTTTTCAGATGTGCCCAGCTACTTACCGGGGGACATAGGTGTTCCCTCGATTTTGGAGAATAGCGGGCTGCCGTGCGACAACTTCAACATGATTGAGAACAAACAGTCGTACATTAAAAAGGAAATAAAGACTGAACCTCGGCCGGAACCTTTGTACACCGTCACTTCAAACAGGTTGTTCAGTATATTAGGAGTTTGAAGGTCTAAGTGTTATACTGTGTTAACAAATAACGAGTTTTTTCTATCTTTTTATTTACAGCGGCAACACAGTTATTCAAAAGATACAGAGGAATCGAAGAAGGACGTCCGGGGGATTAGGTAGTTTAAGCCGATTACCTAAAACGCCTGTTGTTAAAACTGAACCTCAAGAAAATGGTAAGATTTCATCATCTTCATAATCATAATCATCTTCACAATTCTATGTATTATATTTTCAATTTCTATTACTAAGGCTATTTGCTATAATGTAGCGACCGAAAAAGCGAATTTACATATCTTGAAGTCTTGCCTTTGTCGAGGTTTTGATGCCTCTGTCTGGATGACATTATATTGATGACTCGGACACATTTCAAAAGTTTGATATTATAATTGAAGGGTAGGCAGAAAATGATCTTATCTTGCCGATTTCATTAATACTAAAATGCTGTAGAAGATCTATTCACGCTTGGCGTGTTATAAAAGTTATTTATTATATTTATCTATTTCAATTTCAGTATTTGAAGACGACAAAGCTTTTGAGCGATCCTTCAGTGTAAATAAAAAATCTAAAATGATTAATACATATGGCAAATCAAAAAATTCGAATCTTCCAAAGAAAACACCTCATTATACTGGTTCTCTGTCGGATCGGTTACAATTAATAGATACGACGCCTACTGGTGAAGATCCGTATCAACTGGGGGAAGCTGACATGAGAGAGCAATCGCCAATACCGAAACTTATGCTTCAAAAAACAAATCATGGTAGGCTGAAAATATGCTCGGATCTTATGGGGGAGAGTACGATTCCCTCGAGGCGCATATATGATGCGCCAGCAACAGAAACAAGTTCTAAAATGCCAAATAAAATAAAACTTGAGAAAAGATACAATTTACCAAACATGGTCTCCTATTCCTCTGCGCAAGCAACTACGCATACGCTTACGCACTCATCGCTAACGAGCACAGATACGGGTTCGATGATGTCCACTTACCCGCACGTTCCTAAGTCGTCACCTCATACTCCTAAGCAGTCTGCCACTTCTAAGCAAACTACAACTCCTAAGCAAACAACTAGGCAGACGTCAGCTCACAGTGCTAAGCAGTCGGCGGTATCTACGAATGCGTGCACATACACGAATACATATACGCATACTACTAGAAATTCGAGTACACGTAGCGCTAGTCACACAACCCCAAATAAAGGCAGGTCGTCACAAAGAAGTTCTCAAACTGGCTCTCGGAAATCCACCCAAGCGGCAGCGAACAAACTTCTGAACGTGAGCGCGGTGAGCACGGTGAGCACGGTGAGCACGGTCAACACGGTTAACACAACAAATACAGTTAACACTGGTACTACTGTGAACACGGTTAACACGGTGAACACAGTGAACACGGCGAATACGGTGAACACAGTGAACACCGTGAACGCGCTGAACACACCAAAGCCGGTCATCAAAACATCATTAACGACAACACTTAATAATCTGCACACAGCGACACTTGCCGCCTTACATATGGTTCCTTTGGCGCTCACACATACTCCCTCGCAGGGCCACCAACTGCATGCGGCGATAATATCCACACCGCTCAAACAAACCACACTTAAAGAAATTAAAAAAGAATCTCAAGAGTCCACGATGTCGACTCCCAAGACGGCGATTCTACATCAGCCGCTGATAATACAACAACCAGCGTTAGTAAAGCAAGCAGGAATGGTGCAGCAACCGGCGATAGTTCAGCAACCGGCAGTAGTACAGCAACCATCGATGCTGCAGCAACCGGCCATAGTACAGCAAGCGGCGAAACTACAGCAACTTACGTTAGCGCAACAATCGACATTGGCGCAACAACCTGGCTGTTCTAACGTGCAACAACAGGACGGGGACGTAAAAAAAGAAACATCCTTACGTGTGGACTGGTCTTTATACAACAGTCTCAATTTAAGCAGCGACGCAGCGGCTGCTTTAACTGACTTTTACACAGAGGACTCAGGCTCTCCTTTGCCGCAATTTGATGTTGCTGAATTCCGGCAATTGATGGAAAACGAGGCAGCAGCGGCAGCCGCTGTAGCCGCTTTAGATAAAATAGACACGCTGGATTACGGCACGATTGAAAAAAATGAAACTGATCATGTCAAAAAAAGAGGAGCACGAACTGCTAGCCTCATTGCACCAGGTGTCCTCGAAGTATGTATTATTGTTTCATTAAGGGCTGATTTAGCAATGGTTAGATAAAAGTAACCCGGGAAATAATTATGATGCTGTCGTGTCAGAATGTTTGTGACAGCGACAGCAACAATTTTATTTCTCAGATAACATTTATCTGACTATTGGAAAATCAGCCCTTACTTGTATTAACGCTTTCTACATACATATGACGATTTTAAATATATCAAATTTTAGGAGGAATCTACGGATAACCGCCGTGGTATGGGCAGTAAACGTGGAAGAAAACGTGCACTGTCTAGCGCGGGATTAATGAAAAATGCGAAGCAAAATTTATCGAAAGGAGTCGGGCCTAAGCCAAAAATGATTAAGGGAAAAGGTAATTAAATATTTAATTCTTTCTTTGGCGCTTAGGTTTAAATATTATTTTTTTCCATTTACCTGAAGGCTGGCGATTGTGATGGCTGAGCGGGCAGTGCCAGTGAACCATTGTCCTTGCAGTTTTTACCAGTATAATTTAAAATCGTAGTAGTACTTAAATCAACTTAGACTCACGACGGTTAAAAATATCGATTGATACTACATTTTAAAACAATTAGTAACTTTGTGATTGCCACTGCTATGCTACTGTGGATGCCATCGCAACTTTTCTATTTTATATGGTGTAGATTCGTGTGAATTTGTGTTGCGTAAAATTGATGCAGTTTTTTTACATATGTTTATATATTTTCAGCTGCGTGCCGCGGCAAAAAATCTCCTTTGCCGGGAATGACGACGGGTAAACCGTATCACACACTGGTGGGAGACCCGGACCTATCGTGGTACCTTGGTCTGGACCCCGACGTTAAACAGGAAGACATCGATCAGGGGGACTGCAAAGCCTCCACAGTAGAGGTAATGTGCTCGAATTTAAAAAATAAAGATATAATTTTGTTATTACATATGCATAATTTTCCTTTGCTGTTTTATTCACTCGATTCACTATTAACTTGAGCTTTTTTCTAATTTTTAGGTACCGAGATGGCGGGAGAAACCATACTCTAGTTTATATAGTCTTGAAGGAACAGAAAATTTAGACGATAAAATTTTTGAAAAGCGTCACCAAAAATTAGAAGCTGAAGAAAGGCGACAACTAAGGTACTATTCGTTTATTTTCAGAGAATATACCATTCTTATGGGAATTTATGTATCAATCCCTTCACCTTTTCCTGAGCAAGGCGTATATGTGAAAACTACGAACAAAATTTAGATGTATTTTCATGTAAGTTATAATAAGATGAAAAAATAAATCAACACAAAAACGCCCTGTTCAGGTTACTGAATTCACCATTCCTATCATAACTCAATATACATAACCCATGGATCATAACTAACGCAGTGCTGTGCAGTGCTATAGTAGCGGGAGTAGAAAGGAAGATCAACATACTTCCATGAACTCATGTTACAGACAGTTTTCATATTAGTTAATTTAATATTAAAATGTGTTAATGGGCCTCTGCTAGTTTCCTCGCGTCTCTGGTATGCCTTCCATTTGTCTGAGACCACATATGGTCCCAGGAAAGGAAAAGACACTACAATACACATTGCGTTTATTATAACATAATCGTAGATATCATAAAATCAATCCATATTTCTATATATTAGATGCATATAACTTACCAGACGTTTGAGACATTCTATTAAATATTGTATGTATATTTATGTAAATAGAGTGGTCTGAAAGCATTACATTGCTGTACATTTTGGATGGTTCATTCCAAGAAGCTTGCTGACAATTGAAGGTTCATTTACGGAGGAACGATCGTCAAACGTTGTGTGCTGCGCAACGATGATAACTCCTGTACATAAGTACATGATCTTTCAATGAGGCAGCTTGCTTTACCTTGGCGCAGCGTCACGTTAAGATGCAATTCGCATCTAGTATAACGCGACGCGCCTCCATAAATGAATCTTAACAACGAATGTGTTTGTTTGCCTGTCTGTATGCGTTTATGTGTCAAACAGACAAACATGTTACATGGCAAAGATTCAATAAATGGAAAATAATAACCAGTATCTTTGGAATGGTGTTACAAAATTAATTTTCTAAATTGGCTTAGTAAACAGCTTATGCCTTCTTCTAAGTAGTATTTAATCAAATATAGGAAAAACAATGAGCAAACGATTCGCTAGATATGATTGGCTTAATTTGTGATTGGAAATCCGGCTAAACCAGTGACAATACCATGGTCATGGATACTGGTTATGTAAACCTATAAGCCGGTATCTTGGCCACCTTTAAACAAAGGTAGCCAGGAGAGAACAGCTTAGCCATGGGCGCAGCTGATTATCCATAAATGATGTTTTTTGCAATTAGTATATTTGGATTTTTAATTTGTTACATCATTCATCGGAAGCACCAGGGTAAGTTTGCTCATTAAAACACTAATTTTCACAGAATGTTTATTATTTTATATGAATGTCTCAATTTTTTATGTACCTCCTTATCACTGCATTTATGTATTCATTTCATTGATCATTTTTCCAATTGGAGACAAACATCTTCTGTAAAAAGTGTTAAAAATTTCAGGTGGCATATGAGACGTATCCGTGAGCAGCGACATGTAGAGCGCCTTCGAATGCGGCAGCGGGACCCCTGGTATAGCGGGCACTCTCACTATCAACCTTCAGTATACACGATCTGGCCGCAGCCCCAAAGGGACGTGCGAATGATCGAAATCACCGATACCATACCTGTTATGGCCTTCGGGGAGGATCTGCCCGATATACCCCCGGCGTTAGTATGCTTTCATTACTTCCCTCATCTCATCGTAGTATCATTTGGTACTGAAAGCCTCACTTTCACCGTTTACAAGCAACAGAGAAGAAATTATCTTTATAATTTGCCAGTAACACATAATCCAGCTTATAAGAAAACAGATTATTTTCATCAATAATATTTAGTTTCATCAATAGTATATTATTGGCGTTAGACAATAATTTACACTTGAATGTTATTTTAATTTCGATTTCTAATTTTCAGTGACTTTATGCTGCCGTGGGTGCGAACATCAAAAGCTTTGAAGAGATCTAAACGTTCGAAGACTCTACATTGATCGTCCATGGACTGCGTACCACGCTCGGTTATGATTCCCAGTTGGGCCAATCCTTGATAGGTATATCATGTATAATTTAACTTCCACCAATCGGAACCGATTTCTACCAAAAACGGGTCTGGCTGGGTTACAAGTAGTAAGCCGGTGTGCCTCATTCCAGTGTCGTGTTGACACGGTAATATTGTGTGAGCTACAAGAGCAAGATTAATAAGGACTTAACTAATTTTGGAATTGCGTTGACGCGTGTTGACGATTGCTCTTGTAGCTGCTTGAACAGCAGAATTCGAAATAGTGTTCTCGTGTTGAATGGTCAATGGACACGACTCATACCGGCTTTGTGTAGGAAAGTTAGATGACAGTTATACCTGATTCGATAAAAACTTCTCATAGACTACACTTTAAGAATAGCAAATATTAAAAATATTAAAGTCTCTAAAACTGATTAGAAAGAGGAGTTCAAATGTTTAGTATTTGTTTGTTGGTCAACAATAGGGTGATATAGGAATTAATGATTTAGGATCAAGCGTCGGACATAGTTCTAGGCATAATAATAAAATCACAAATTATTTGTGACTATGCTAGATGTAACAGGAAAGTAGGTACTTACTACGTAGGAAGTTCATTTTGAAATAAATGAAGTTGTAAAAAGATTTAGTTATATTATAATTACAATCAATGAAATGAAATTAAAATATGCCAGGTTTTATGGTGGTTTTGAAGGTTTATTTTACTATGTTGGTCATCTCAGTAATAATAGAATAGATGGTAGTGATGGTTTTAGGTAAACTGGTTTAAACACTGTCTCAAAATTGCTTTTCCGAGTGAAAAAGGTATAGTGAAGCCAAATATTTGTTAGCGATTTCAATAAATTAAGACTCAAACTTAAATAGAGAAAATTAATACAATTCGTAATAATATGTATCTATCCGATAACGTCTTGGATTAGCTCTCGGATTAGTTGTAGAATTTTATTTTTGGTAAAAAGAAAATGAAAATAAGAAACAATATCATTGCTGACAATATCACAAAGTAGGTACATTAAAATAGTAACAAATAGCCATTTACACCGGTTTTGTAATAGTCCCAAACAATTCCAATCTATATTGAATAAAGTTATTTGTAACAACCATAATAAAATAACGAAATATATCCTTATATACTTCCATTTTTTGTAGTACTATTACTAATAGTAGCAAAATTCTAACTGACTCGCAACTCTTGCCTAAGTATACCTGCAAGAACAGAAGCGACATAATTTTACGCGTTTTGTGTTCTTTATCTGGAATTATATTCACAGCGGTGATTATTTCTATTATCATTTATATACGAATTAATACACATTTAAGTTTCGTAAGCTGCCACTATTTTTTAAATCAGAATTAAAAAATCATGCAGTTATTAGCACGTTTATAAATGCTGCTTACTATTCACTGAGTTAATAAGCAAGATGAGTCTGAGAAAATCTTTTGCTGTTGTTCACAATAGTGGTACTTAGGTTGCGCAATGAAGGAATATGAGCTAGCCACGGGTCCTAAGCTTACTTCAAAATATTGCCTGAAACAAACACCCAATGTATTTTTGACGGTGACTTTATGGTTTAATTTAATTTAAAGCTCTCTACAGCTTTGTTTATGAGACAAAATAGTGCATTTTGTATAATGAAACAAGTTACTCGTTTGCCACGCAAACTAAATAAGAATATCGTTAAGTGTTCGTACCGGATTTACGTTTTCTATGTGTGGTGACAGAGCGCTCCAATGCGCAGTTTCCACAAAAATTTATATATTTTTGAAATTTTTTATATAATTTTTGTTGTAAATAATTCATGAATTATGATTGACATTTGTAAATATCGAACATATAGGATATGTTCAAATCATCGTCTTAGTTAATTTTGTATTATTTACTTAAGTTTTACTTAATCAAGTCAAAACTTATTTTTTTATATTTCACGAGTTATTTAGTGGTTTGGTTTTCACCGGTACCTTGATTTGCAATGAACGAAAGGCCGCTTACATAAGGAAAAACAATTCAAAATTACATTGTTAATGGGAATTATTCATGTGTTGGGTAGTTTTTTCTATTTATTTCACAGTGTAATAACATACTTCCTTCCTTAATAACTGATTTTAAGAGGCTCCTTAGGAAATCGACAGAAAAGTCATCTCACTCTATTAACATAATTATTGGTTATTATAAATATCTTGAATTCCTTCTTTTAATTACAGAAGGAATGTTTTGTAGTCGCATAAAATTAAACACACCACATTACAAGTCTCTTAATTTCGTTTATTGATTTAAAAAAATAATTTGACATCAATGAGATGGCTTTGAAAGTTGTAATTACAAATCAATATTTTGAATAGTATAGTTTTGATTCACATTTGATCCTTTGTCGTACATAAAAAAGTAAATATATAAAAAATACAATGTTGTAAATTACAAAAAAATACAATTATTTCCATGATTATAAAGAAATGTCTATGAGTAAATCAAATAGAGATTTTTCGTTTTGTTACTATTAAGGATTAATATATAGCCGTATTTAATTAATTTTTGTCCGTAATAAACTTTCTGTCACATTTTTTACAAGTACCCTTCCAACGAATTGTAAAATGGAATATTTTCGCGTAATATATATTGTCAAAACGGGCATTGTACTTCGAAATATAAGTAACTTCTGGATGCTTTGAACTAGTCGTATAATGAAAAATAGCATCAAATGTTATATTTCCCATCCACTATTCATGTGATGCAATTTTGTTAGCTTTATAATGAACTAATCAGTACTTCCGATTTGAAAGTAACACTAAGAGAGTGTTCGACCTTAACTGGTTGTGTATGTATTCTAATAAATGAATTATTATTTAATTCTAAACAGTTTTATGAAATACTGTAGTAATCCAGCGTTGTTGCTTCTACTGTTTGTAGGTTTGTGTTAAATTATATTCGCTGTAGCTATAGTCTTCGTGTCCTAGACTTATGGATAGGTCGGTAGATAGAAATTACTGTTCTTATCGGACATGTAAATAATGTTTACTTATTAAAAAGACACGCGGGAGATAAAGGAAATCTGTGATTCTAGAAGACTGCGCTGGAAATATAAGTAAATCTTGTTACTTGCACGGATCATTGATGGAACGTAGTCGCATTTTTATAGCTGAGCGATTAATGTAACATACGGAACTAGCCTATTAAATTATAAAAAAAAGATACGTGTACCGTATACATGAACATAACTTGTCATCAACTTCACCTAATTTTTATTGGCGTACAGTATCGTAATTAATGAAAGTATTGTAAATTTTGAATTTATTAAAATACTACATTGGTTCTTTCACCACCTTAAATATTTCTTCGGGAAAACACCTCGTTGGCATAAATTTTATTCTGATAATATTTCTTAAGAACAACAAAATTAGTCGATCGCGATGTTAGAATTTAAAATAAATTCGTATGTAATTATAAGATCATGACGAAATAGTTTTTTTTTTATAAAATAACGTGATAAACATAAGTCAGTTAGCGAAATAAAAAACTGGTTTGACTGTCTAAAAAAGAAAACTGTTATGATAGAAATGATCGTTTAAAAGTAAAATAAAAAAAATGTGTGCCAATGTTAGGTACTTATTTAAATCACCTTCTAATAAAAATAAATAATTTCTAATTATTCCGTACATTAGGATATTGGTTCTTGATTCTACGCTAAACAATATTGATTAATTAAACTTAAATAAATAATTGTTATGTAAAAAGGTGTTGTACTAAAATTGCTGTCAGTTTAGATTAATATTTGTAATTTGCAATTATCTTCCTCTGTGTTCGATCGTCCGAAAATTTAGATTATTTGCATATTCATTTGATTTTGTGTTATTGCTTTTTTGCTATCGAAATACGTTTGGTAATTTGTAAAATATTCGCATTATGTCAGTTGGTATGTTATGTAAATAAGTTTAGGAAATGTAATGTGAATATTTGTACAAAACCCTAAAATAAGGAGCAGACAGATGTTGACACATGATAACGGCAACACCTTGAATTTCTTCCTTAATAACAATACTTAGCATATAAGCAGTTTCCATGTGTCCCAAACAATCAACCCTCTGTAAATAAATCCATATTCATAACCGATTCACACATGTTTGTGTACAGATCATTTTGATATTCGTAACATCTTTGTCAAATTAGTGTCGTTACATTCTGATTTATACAACCTTGGTGTATTTGACCTACTGCCTTGCCCATAACGGCTTTTTTACTTCATGCCCGTTTTTTTCGAACCCTTTTCAATTATTTTTAACCGTGATATTTATTTCATACATTCCTTGTTTTAACTCCGAAATTTCGTGTCTTTACACTATGAACGTACCTGGAAATTTTATATAACCCAATGTTTTATGTCTTGCGGTTACAATGAAACAAATATTATTAAACATTTTTGGATAAATAAGTAAATTGTATAAAAATCATAGTTATATATGTTTTTAACGTTCTGATAAAGAGAGTAATAGAGTAATACTTTATTGTTCGTCTGTTTACTTAGAATACTTATATTACACTTAGATGTGATATGTTTTAAGTAATATGCTCCCATCGGGAGAAGTGAGTCCCAGTGGCATAAAATATAGTAAATTAAAATACATGTGAATAGATAGGGTTATATGTTATAGTCGTTTAAAATTTCCAAAAAATATACACAAATTAAATCTTAATATTTAATGATTTTTTTTAAATTCATATTAACGCGACCTCTCAACGCGTTTGAGGTTCGTTTTAACGAGTGCTATAGAAAAGGTATTTGCGGTATTCAGAATGCTTAAAGAGGTTTTAGTTAACAATAAACTCTTCTTTTCATTTATCCAATTAAAAATTATGCAATGTATTGTGACATACATCAAATCGTAGCCTCGATGGCAGTAGGGAATTATTATGAAATAGTAACTTAATTATACAAGTCTGGTAGTGATTATATTATTAATTACTCAAAACCTCTGAGGAAACGATAATTACAGAGTCAGCTTTGGGGACGTAATCTGATCTCCTAAATTATTAGCGAAGAAATGCACTATTGATGTAATAGTGTATTTCTAGGCTAATAACACTGTAGTCACCTGAAAAAATCGGTCATTCAATCAAAATTAACTAAATTATCTGACGCTATACTTTCCAAAAGATAAGGAATATTTTTCAGGTTAGATAAGGATATTTAATCAGTACGCGTTAATAATCGTTTGCATTTTGAGAAACACTATGCACTTTAAGCGAGTATCCTTCAAGTAAAAGCCAAATATAAAACGTTTAAGTAACATACGAATTTTTTTTTCAATTTTATTTATTGGACATAAATTTATTTTGTAAATGAGAAATTAATTGTTATGCTATTACGAATCACCATTATGTAATTGTATTTGAATTAATGCACTGGTATGTATATATTTTGTGGACGATGTTAATTAAATAAAGTATGTGTAAAATACATGCTACGTAGTTGCAGATTTATGCATTTGCGTTGCAAAAATCAATTTTTGTAGAATAGATAACTAATTTAACAACCATTGGTTTTGATCTGTTCTGTCAACACAATCGAAGCTATTCTATAGATATCTGACACGTTGAACAGGCGTGTAAGAATGTGTACTCAGCAAAGCCTGACGTCTACAGACAGAACGTTTTTTTCTTAACCTAAGTAGTGTCTACAAGCGAAGTAATGCTTTAAAATTTGTTTTGTAGAACTGTTTGTTTGAATGACGTGTTTCGGAAGTAATGTAAAAATGTCGTTTGTTTCGAATATTTTTTGTTTGTTATGAATACGGTTAATAATAATTAATAATGAATAGGAATCTTTAATATTATTTTTGTATTCGCACTTGTAAATGTTATTTGAATGTAAATAATCATGCTTATGTTGAATGATCTTTCTTTGGGACCGTATTGGTCTATCTATTATTAGGCCATGTAATTAAATGTTAGCTTTTTGAATTATTTTTAAGTGTCGGGAACTTAATATTATTATCTTGCGTTAGAGTATTTATGTCTGCGATGTCCTGTTAGCATTTTTCGTTAAAAGCCACAAGTAGACGTGTGTGTTAATATTTTTAGTTCGTTCATAGTCATTCATGTTATATTATTTAGATAGTATAGTTCGTTTCACATTAGAAGAGTTCGGTGGCGTTTGGTATAGTGAAGTTACTTACGTATGATTATAAAATTGCCAAAAATCTAAACAATGAAGGTCCTGGTGTATTTGTACTTTGTGCCTATTAAGTAGGACAACAAAGTTTTTTTTTAAAATTATTTGCTGATTCATTATTTCTTCGCTCACACCAATTAAAGGTTAAAAATCAACTGAATTGTTAATTCTTATTGTATTTTCGAGAACTTGTTTTTTTACGTAAATTTATAAATACTGTGTGTTACCTTAGCCTTCCTGTGTGAAATGTTCTATTGTTTCTCTCTGTGAAAACAACAGGGACAGCTAAATAAAGGAGAGATGTTAACGCAAGGATGGAAGATGCCCGGGCGTTTTAGTCCGAATTATCTTCTCAATTATGAGTTAATATTATAGTTTTCATTATAAGAATATCATACGCGAACATTGTTAGTTAGCATTCGAGTTACTTGTGGCTGTAGTGTGGACGGACTTACGTTAAGTTTAAGTATTATATAGATTACATTGTTGTTGAAAAGTAAGCTTATTATTATAATTTCTTAAACAATAGCTGTTAGTGTGTAGCGTTGCAGTGCAGTTAAATTGTTACACTCGAGTACGGGCACAGTGTTACGAAGTAATTGTTAAATGTTCGATTAGATCCGATATTTACTGCACTGACCACTTGGCATAAAAATAATAAGATCTCATTAATCGTTAATTAATAATTTGAAATTTAACTCTTCTTATAGATATTATGGAAGTAAAGTCGGGTACACTTGTCATAAAGTGTAGGTACAAAATTTTCTGGTTGAAACTGCATCATTGTACCGACTATAAACAATAGGAAATTGCATATCAATTTAGAGAAATGTAACATCGGCGACTTCAGTAACATTTGTCTGAATAGTAGGTACCTTACTTTGTGTTTGTAAAAACTGTAGTTGTACACTAGTTTGTTTTTTGATTATTCAACAAAAATTGTAAATTAATCTGCTGTGTAGATACTATTATAAACGTGGCATTTATTAAATAATCATAAAATATATGTTTCAGTGTACAAGTTAGTAGTGTATATAACACACTATTAAAATTAGGTAGCTTAAATATTTATCTTCCCGTATATTTAAGGCTCCTAACTTCGGTTTAATTACGAATTCATGTGATACTTCAGACTAAGTTGTATAAGTACATGGAAATAAAGGAACTTTGTCTTTAGAATTGACTTCAGATTTTCATTTCTTTTTTTACCTTACTAATGAGAAATGACGCTATCTGCACATGTGTTTGGAACATTATCAACAAAGACGGAGAATAGCATAAGATATTATTCTTCCCTCTTCTCCATTTATTATCTCTTGTTCTTCAAGAAACTTCGACTAAAGGTAAGATGCTGGTAACTCTAACTGCTGGTCGCGCCCATGACTGCCAGTCATCAACTATTAACTGTAGTTCATATACTACGTGTGTGCAAACAATGCTATGTGATCAAGTCATGTTCACATCATGGTTGTTCAAAAACAATCATGATGTTTTCAGACCAGTTGATACACGTATCCGGCGTAAGCAGACATAATTACGCTCAATTACCCTGCCGTACCGTAGCGTGAATGCAAATCTTAGTTATTTAATTTACACTCGGCACACACTCATTAAAAGTCACAATAGCGTCGCTATAATACCGTGCAATTATCTTTAAACACTTACAATAAAAAGACGAATGAACTATTTATGATAATGTACCTACGATTGTAATGTAAGTCACAGGTAGGTATTGCCATATTTGCAAGCAGCAGGGAACTGAACTGTACCCGCTTATGTTGAAAAGAATTTTTAAGGGTTGTGTATTTCTAACGATTTTTTAATTATATTTATGAATTTCAACTATTGCTTTAACATATCCAAATAATTTTACGGCACCTACCATAGTACCAAAGAACAAAGAGTCGTTGATGCGGGCCAAAAGGCGGCAACATTAAAATGGAACTGGGCCGGACACGTCAGCCGAATGCATCCGGAGAGATGGGCCACTATTGTCACCTAAGGATGGACGCCGCAGTCGGGGTAGGCCGATCTAGACGCCTATGGTCGAGACTGGTGGACACGGTCGAAAGATAAGGAAGGTGGGGAAGCTTGATGGGGCGGCCTTTGCCCAGCGGTGGGGCATTATAGGCTAGTAGAAGAAATTCCTCAATTCTACCAAAAAAGGTTGGCAAAGAAAACGGATATTCTCGAGATGTGAGAGAGAGATGTGGACTTTAATAAAAAAAAAATGATTCAGTAATATAAATCCAGTTTAATAAGTTATTGTGTATTGCAAAAAAGTCAAATAAATCATTACATAAGTAAATAACCCGTTACAAACAAAATTAAATACAAGAAACTACTTGAGCTTACAATTAGCACCAGATAGCCCCCATAACGTTAACATAATGCAATCAAATTATTTTATAATTATTGTAAATAAAAATATAGCCTACTAAGTACTAATATAGATAAATGAATAAGTATTACATTTTTTGTAATATTAAATTATTAAACTGCAACATTAGCAAATAACAATTATTTAATAAAGGCCACAAATGTATTTTTCATACATATTCTTACAATAATACTGTATTTTAAATATTATTTTGTTATAAGAAAATATAATTAATTTTGGAATTACATTTATTCAATTAAATTAACGTAATATAGTCCAGTGATTTCATAACTAAAATAGGGATTACCTGCACTCTCTCGACAACAATAAAAGAAATATATATCACAGATCTTAAACATTACTATTCCCATAAAGCGGTCAATTAAAGAAAAGTTACCTATGTTTGTTTTTGTCAGAGTGGGGACTTTCAAAGATGAAAATATTTTTCAGAGTTAATAAATCAAAAGGCAAAAAAGGCTGTAGACAGAGGTATGGTATAAACAAAAAATGGAGTAAGAAAAAAGTTGAAAGAACTTCCCAATAGCTTTGCAGGTAAAGCTACAAAATGACTGGACTATGTAAATAAATACAGATATTTGAATAATATGGCAACCGAATAAATATTTGTAATATATTATTTTAACATTACATAATATTACTAACAACTATACTTTATAGTTAATTACTATAACAACAACAATTAAAAATGGTTCAAACAAAACACCCAATTTGATGAATATTCCCCACCACAAATAAATGTTGCCTAAAATGATTCTATCAACTATCTAAGACAATCAAAATAATTAAGATATTTAGCGATATTGTCCTTAAATTTATAAAATATTAAGTTATAAATTATAACAATTTTACTTGAAACTTTGGTGAAAAAATAAGATTTATCTAATGAGAAAACGTGTAAATAAGATAATATTTAAAATTGACACAGGAAGGCTTTAAGCATATAAATTTACTTCAGTCTCTACACAGTCTTTCAATAGGTTATCAAGTTTATCATGTGTCTTTTGGCCGGTAGAAATATCATTAACATATTTCTCAATCTCTGCAATGCGTACTTCTTCTAGCTTTTGAATGGCCTTTGCAACATCTTCATTATCACCTGCAGATATGCGTTCCATATGCAACTTATAAAGGTGATGTTCTTTAAGTGGCTGAAAAGTGAAAAGAGTAAATTTATGCCTACTGTAAACAATTTTTATATACATGTAGTTTTTTGCGTTATGTTACAAAGTAGTCATGTTTAACACATGAGAAGTAAACTTTGCAATAAAATAATAAATGTTACCTCATCCGGGCTGACTATAAGCGGAGAAGCTCGGGCATTCTTGGTGAAAACAAATGGTTTGAAGAATGACAAGCTAGGGTCTGGTGTAGCAGTGAACCAATGCACGCTTATCTTTTTATCCGAGAGACTAGACACCTGCAAAAACCCAATTAATTTAATACAGAAAATAACTTTTAAGATATCATATATGAAAATTGTTTATGTGCTTCTTACCTGACTTCCTTGGGTGGGGAATGTATCATCACAACTTCTGCAAATGCGGCTGTCCTTGTGTCTTAAAACATTCATCATATCCCTTACATCAAATACAGATGAAGAGCTTGCTTCTTTCAACAATTTGGCACCATCTTGTTGCCTTTGTTCATCACCACCAGATGAGAAACATTTGGTGAAATTAAATTCACTCTGAAAACAAATAAAGTAATGTTTTAAATATACCTACCTACATACCACTTATATTTTACTACCCTCATGGCAGATTGATCATAAGTGTGACAATTGAACAAAAATAAATGTAACAAGGGCTTTAGTGCCAATCATAACATATTTATTACTATCCTTAATCATAGATGATTAAGCTTCAAATTATATCTGTACTGACCTGCCCGTCCCAGAGCCCCAATCTCTTGGACTTTTCCATTAAATTGCTAGAATGTTTATCAATTTTGGTTGCAATAGTCAGACCATTGGATATATTTCTGTAGCCACTTGTAACTCTTTCAGCTGCCCATAACTTTCCACTCGTCTCTAAAACCCAGGCTTCTTTGGTGTCTGCTATAAGGAAGGAGTTGTGATAGATGTGGCTATCATCATGTTCAGAGCAGGGACCACCTTGGCCATATTTCTCAAGAAGGGATGTTATCACATCCAATGCTCCTTCTGCAGTAGCAGCTCGCTCTAATCCTAGGCTGTACAATTAAATGCTGATTAAACAAAGTACTTCTATAACACAAATACGCTTCATCAGCAAGGCAGCTACATTAAAATGCTAAAGTACTCATTTTATGTGTCTTAAATAATTGGTGCTATATCTAATTGTCATGATGACTGAACATTCATTTATCGTGTACTTGATTTGTATATAAATAAAATTTATATATTTATTTATATTTTTTGCATCAAGAATATCAAATTTTTGTTGTGGTACTTATAATGTGTGACTGGTGTGTATCAACTTACCGCACTAAGTCCATCCCCAGCAAGCGCTTGGGTCTTGCATCACCTTCTCCTTCATTGTTGTTAGTCCAGACTGCCTCATTGCCAATAACTACATTCTTATCATTAGCACCCATCTCAGCACCCCACATCCAAGCAGGTTTGCTCAATATTACAGTATGCACCGGTGAAAACCCATCTATGGTGATATAAGTGCACTGGAAGATAATAGTAATTGAGATACCTTTAACTTAATACCCTCTATGTTTGAAATTTATGCAATCTGTACATTTATCCCCATGTCTTTTATTTAAATTGATCTTGTACAGTATATCAATCTTTCTTTGCTTGTTTTAGCTTTTATTATAATATATCTGAAATTGGTCTATAGTTACCTTTAGCTTATCATCTCTGGGCCCTCCTTTGATTAAAACTACTTCTTGAACTTCATTCTGCGGACGATCAGAGTTTTTTCCAAAGACGACGGATTGATTTTTTGTTAACGGAGGTAACACGACAAATGTATCGCATGATTTTGGCAACTTGGATAACATTTTTAATTAATGGAATCAGCAAAGAAGTCAAATAGAAATTGCACAACTGTACTCTGTATTAGAGTGGCGTCAACTGGATACCATAAAAAATATTTCCTCTTTATATAGGCTAGCGAACTGCACACGAAAAATTGTAAAATAATTAAAAAGCCCGCGCAATACAAGTGAATTAGAGCAATCGATATTGTTATGTCAAGGTGACAAGGGTCAAGTATATTAAAAAGGTAGCACTATCCGAGTAATAATCTAAATCATAGCAGCATATATAGCGATTTTTAAACTAGTTTTACAAATAATTTAAAGTGTATTATCATTACAATATTGCGCTTTATTTTTGCTTTTGTTTTGACGTAATGGAACTTCTTAACAACGATGGCATAGTTTTGTTTATTGACGATGTCACCGTACTGTCAGCTGTCAAAATTAGAGGCGAGGACACGCAACAAAGGCTATTTTTAGTCGATTAAAAAGGCATTGCTGTTTAGTTATTTGCTTTCTAATATACTAGATGGCGATAGCAGATACGATTTTTCATACAGGTGAATGATATATAATTTAGAACTTTGTATGTAATATATTCATAATAATGTAGGATGTAAATAAGTTTAAACTGATATTTGTAATAAATAGTAAAAGTATACTTTGTAGATTAAAAAGATAATCATGAAGATATGTAGGTATTAAATTTGACTATCTAAGTAACTATTGTTAATGTGTAAATACCCCAATAGCAAATGATTCTTTTATGCAACCTTGCGGTACAATTGAGTTTAGGTACTTATGTCATTCATTATGCATTTTCATTGAACTATTCTAGAAAAAACTAGGTAGTAAGTACCTACCTATTAACATAGATACATATTTATTCTGATTTATTTTGTTTTCCACAATGTATGCTCTGAAAAGGAACCTATCGATATTTTTCATCAGACTATTTACATATTTTGAAATAGGTAAACATTGTAGTAGATAATGGGAATAGGTAATATTTCCTGTTTCGACAGATTGTGTCTAGATGCAGTATCGCACAACAAAAGAACATTATCTAATAAACAGCTCAACTTTGTTGTGGCAAGTGATACCAATCGCGGAAATGTAGGTACCTGCATAGGAGCCTAGATGCACATTATTTAGGAAAAAGAAAGGAAATAGAAAATATTTATATGTATATTATTATTAAAACATGATGATATAAGTATCTTTCCTGATTAAAATAACAAGCAAACATATTAAGTTCAATCCATAGATATAAGTGGGTTATAAAGCTTTGTGGAATAAGCCATAACACCGCATTGTTTTGTAAACTTTTTGACAATATATGTAGGTACATTTTTACCTGCCCCGGAAGACGAGTTCCCGGCATCGGAATCGGGTATCGGGAGTCCAGCGGCAAATCGTTGAACATACAGACAGGCCTACCTACGGGCGTTCCTGTGAAAGCTAGCGAAGGTACACATTTATAGGTACGCTTTTTTGGATGCCTTGATAGGTAGCCGTAAATTGAGGCGTCTGCAATAGCTTTATCTTTATACCCTGGTAAGGTAAAAAATATTTTCGTAGTAATATAAGAAATCTAATTGTGTATTATTTTATTGTGCTCGATCTGTATCCGTATGTGTTTCACTGTTATTTTAGAATAGTTACCTACAGCACAGAGTACGTAGACTTTCCATAAAGATTACCTCAGCATCAGACTGCCTATATCTAAATCTCAACAATTTAGGCCACCTAGTACTATTCTCTATTAAACTTTTTTTAATCTATGCTTTGGAACATCCATTGATATGTAAAGAGATAGCATAGTTGGTTCTTTGAATTTGTATTGTATTGTAAGTACGGTAAGGCCTACTTGAATTAAGCAGGTGTATTATGAAACAAGGATGTTCACCGTCAATTAAAATGTTTTCGCCCTCGGCTCGCCCAAAGAAAGCCGTGCTCGTAAATCATTTATGTAAATCAACAACAACAATGAAGCAAAATAATATAGAGAGTGCTCTATGGAACGTCGCGCCGGATGTACTAGCGACTTCCCGCCGGTTTCTGACGGTTTTACCTCCTGTTTCCGCTACGGTGGGTAGGTTACCAACGCACCCTGCTGCGAACTTGCTTGTGTACTCTTAAATATCGTATAATCATATACTTAAGTTGCCGTATTTATGGCCAGGTAGATTGTCTGTGCCTGGGGTTTCAGCAGGTAGCGCAGGCATAAACGTTCGCTTTATACTTTATGTGTTATACCTGGGTACCTACGTTGTAAAATGAGGTTTGCTGTTTTAAATCGTACTTATTGATTTGTGGAAACTATAATACCAGTCTTCATTCATCGTCTAAAAGCTTTGGAGCAGTTTTATTACATTTGGACAATAATAATATGCTTAGATTAAGAAGCATTTGAATAGGACAAATTTACGTACACATTTTTTCAATTTATACATTCTGATTAGTGCCTGTCGTATTATAGCGAAATGAGTTTTAAAACATGAGTAACCAACTCAGTTTTGCCTCCTCAGTATCAAAGGGCAAAAAGTTGGTGTTCGCCACACAACCACACTACTCCTGACTGTTAATAAAAGCTATGGTTTTACGTAACATAAACTGAATTAAAGAGAGCATACTACCGCGGTCGCTCTCTCACAGTATCATACACTTTTATGCCAGTGCTGAAGTTTTTAGTAGGACTGATTTATTTATGCATCATTTATCATTCCCAAACTTCGGATTGAAGATTTGACATTCTTGACAGGCCTCATTTAATCTTCTTAAGTGTCTAATACACGCTCTACTGAACTCCCAGTCAATTCAGCACTTAACGGAACGTAGCTTCTTACCAAAAAAGTAGTACTTAGGTACCACACAAGTACCTAAGTACCTATGTATATAGATAGCAGTCTAAAGTACCTATAACAAAGTGAAAACAATTTAAAGTATAATTAAAAATGTTACGTTGTTTACACTCTTAAATGGAATTTTATAATTTTCAAATTCTTATAAATTCATCTCAAACTGAAAATTAATATTGAATCAACGAACTGAGTAAACGGCAAGTGCTTGTTTATTTAGAATAAGGTTATTAAAATGTACAGGAAATTATTGAGTTCGTATCGTTATTTCGTATTGTGCATGTGTGTGTTTCTGCTACACAAGTTGACGGTAAGTAGGTTTGTAGCAATCAGAGCCTTGGTGCATTGCAGTGTCCCCTACGTGTTTATGTTTACTCGCACATGCTAGAATGATAATAAGTAAATAATATATCGCATTTACGGCGGGAATTTTAATGGATTTTCGTGGCAATTTGAATATATTTTAATGAGCGCGCGTGAGCCGGCGTGGCTTCCGGTCCTCTATAATTATATCAACAGTTAAGTAAGACCGGAAGATTCACTTTCCGTTCTGGCCTATTCTTATTTGGTCTTAAGTACGTTCGATGCAAATATTGCTCTTTATTTTCGTTTTACTTTAGAAGTAGGTAAAGTTTTGCTCTGGAATATTAGCAAATAGCTTTGAGAGATTGAACAATATTCTTGTGCATGCTACATTGTGCTGTTTACGCGCTGGTGCGTCCTATAAATTCATCGCGTTATTGCTGTGTCTAAGTGGTTCCCGGCCAATGCACTGAGCATTACAAGCTTCCGTGCGACTTGTATCTACGGAGCACACAGATCTATTGTGTACACCTAGCTTCCGGATTTGGAAGCTCATTGTTTCAGACTTAAACCAGCTCAGCCGTCGCTTCGAGATTGATACCGGGAGTTTAGAGCAGGTGATTAAAACCTGAAGCTACTCCTGAAGATAAGGCATTTCGTTTTGCGTTTTATTTTTACATTGTGAGTACGAAATGAAGAAGAGTTGTTCGCAAAAGATAGATGATGTTTTTGTAAAACTCTTTGGGATTATGTTCTAACGTAGGATTTCAAGACTGATTCCGCATTTTACAACAAACAACTTTGAACTCTGCCTGTTACCAGCTTAAGTCGGTAAAGATGTAAATTATCTACAGCGCAGCGAAGTGGACTATTCCGCGTATTTCAATAACTTTATGTAACTGTATGAATGAAGAATGAGATAAAAGTTTAGCGTAATCGCAAAAGTTTTGCTTATAAACTCCTCCTTCTTAATATTGGGATAGCAAAACATTGATTACGTAACAATACTTATACATTTGCGTGAGGTTAGCATTCTATATCTTAGAATTCTAGATAGTTACGAAGTTTTTTTATGCGATAGAGCGCCAAACAATCGGTTCACCTGATAGTATGCAATTGGCGCCGCCCAAGGACGGGTATTCATGATCCAACAAGAAAGATGTACCTACTTGTGTGTTACCGTTTCGGCGATTTAGGGGTTACGGGCGGTTGGTGGACGGAAAGGGCGAACAACGCAGGAATTTTTAGGGATTGGGGCTTTGGAGATTTAGGGATTGGGGGAAGGGAAGAATTGGGCCTCCGAAAACCTTACTTACACGACGAAAAAACGCTGTGGTCGTCTGACGCTGGTTGTCTGATGCTGTGTAATCGCTCAAGTCGTGCCGACCCATTCGTGCCGAAGTTTACAATTACCTACTTCTGCGTGAAATTGTGATGTTAGTATTTTTATCAACAATCCTTTTATATTTTTACAGAATTATTTTTTATTTCCAAATAGTCTGTAAAGCATGCGGTCTATGAAAACGTTGGTCGTCCTGGCGAACTGCTGACCAAAAATCTTCTGATGACGACTTTTATCGACGAAGGAAGCTTTCTTACCTAAGAACACTTAAGGCAAATCATCAATCTGGAAACTAATCATATATAATTGAATTTCAAAGCACTCAACCAGTGTTGCCTGTAGCATCAAGTCACTTAGCGCGTCACTAATGCAATTCATAGATGGAAGCATTCATGTAGGACACTGAGTGCCACTTTTATACATTTTAAATTCCTTTTACAATACGAGTGCATTGCCATACAATATACCTTATAATCCTTGAAGGAGTAGGCAGGATTCAACGTAGATACTTACACAATCTAACACCAAGTTTTCATATGTAAAGCTATTATTCACAACTAAATTCATCATGATCATCATCAGCCTATAAGTGCCCACTGCTGAGCAAAGGCCTCTTCTGACACGTAGAAGGTTTGAACATTAATCACCACGCTTGCTCAAGGTGGATTGGCGATTCCAAACTTATAATTATAATCAGAAATTATAAGCCCAAATTTCCTCACGATGTTTTCCTTCACCGTATGTCAGTGGTGTCTAAATATTTATAGAAAGCACATAAAACTCAGAAAAAGCTACATTAGAACCTACTTGCCAGATTTCGAACCCTCATGCAAAAGAAACTTAGAGCCTTAACCACTAGACCAACACGACAAGCACTAAGTTATCTGGATTGATTTGATTGGAACCGTGTC